TAAGTCCCAAGCTACCAGGACTGTGTCGGACCTTACTGACTGACCGAATAGTGCCACCTGGCAATGCTGCACAGTACAGATCACCTTTCCTGAAGGATTTCGTCCATCTCAACGTCGCCATGATGACGTCCAACAACGCTCTCGTTCCAGACCCAGACAAGCAGGACGACCTTGCCTCCAAATTTTGGCAATGGCCTATCCTTCACGTCGGCCTGCGCATGTGTTCATGGGATGACCAAGTCACAAAGTATTTCTTGCTGGGAAACCCCATCGTGTACTGGGGCTCCACAGCATCGCTCGGCATTACTGGTCTGATCGTCGCCTGGTATCTGATCCGCTGGCAGCGGGGCTACAGGGAACTCAGCCAAGTCGACATTGACCAAATCCATTACTCGGGCATATACCCTGTGATCGGCTGGTTTTTCCATTACTTTCCCTTCTTGATCATGGGCCGAGTTACCTATGTTCACCACTACTATCCAGCTCTCTACTTCGCTATTCTGGCAGCAGGTTTCTGCCTTGACTGGACGACACAACGCCTTCACAGGAACGTTCGCTGGGGAGTGTACTTCATCCTGTACGCCGTAGTCATTGGGTTATTTGTGCTGTTCAGTCCGGTCGTGTTCGGCATGCAAGGCAGCAACCGGCAATATGCGTACTTGAGGTGGTTCGACCGATGGAGGATCTCAGATGCCAAGATGGGTGAGACATTGGCAGCATGATAAAAAGTGAGGTTGGCCTTTTCCTGCCACAACTAATGCGCTTTTGAAACGAAAAGCACGCGATGGCCTGGGGGGCACATGCGCTTGTGGTTATGTTGGCGATGGCGTCATGAATGGGCAAAGGCAATATTTAGGAACCAACCCTTTGTAAAACAGATGGCTCGTTTTCTCTTTTTTCTCGGTCTTGGTGCATTCAAGAGCGATACGAATCGTTCCGAAATATGGCCTCGATGGACGGCAGCTGGAGAGAAGGCCGAATCTTAGATCTTGACTCAAATAGGTCAAGTTGGCACTTGGAAACTGCACGGGGGCGTCAATTCTCCCAAGATATCTAAAACCTCGACGGACGGCTACGTAGCATGCTCTTTCAGGTGTGTTTGTTCTGTACAGTCAGCAGCCATCGGAAGAGGTCGTTATAGGACGAAAGTAGCATCGGTTCAGGATCTCGTCGGCCCGTGGTCCGCACACAAGTCGACAAGGCTGAGCGCCAAGCGATCAGTCACGGGGCTGAAGAGAAAAGACAACCGAATCCTGGCGAATCCGCTTATTAGGCCGCTTGACCGATGCCAGCGAACGAGAACCCGAAGGGAAGCGGGGACCATGTCGGACTCGCCCACCGCCGCCATAGCCATACCAGCCTCAGCTCAAACTCAATTCACTCTCACTTCACGCTCAAGCTGTGGAGCAAATATCCTCTCCCCGTGGGCGACAGCAGGATTTCTCCGTAGTCTCTGTCTCGCTCCCTAATATGTCGATTTCGGTATAACCCCAGCTGCAGTCCTTCAGCTCGCCCACCGCGACTGCATGTCTCTATTGCCCACGCTGGTTCACCAACATGGACCCCCAGCAAGGCGACTCGACCGCGGACAGCCCTGGTGGTGACTATGCTGACGACTTGAAAATGGATACGATGGCCGATGGAAGGATCGAAATGGCCCAGGAAGAGATAGACGCCATCATTCGCAATAAGAGAAAGGTCAGAGATCCAAAGGCGTGTTACGCCTGCCACCGTCGAAAAGTGAAGTGTGACCGCAACCTGCCGTGCGACTCTTGCGTCAAGAGGGACCACCCAGAGCTTTGCTCATATGAGCGACCTACGAAGAAGCGCCGCATTGCGCTGTCGGGCGCATTAAACCAACCCGATGGCACTGGATCCGAAAGTCCGAACCAGCAGACTGGGCCCAACATCACCGTGCCTCGCGAACAGTGGGAGCGCCTGAACCGAGAATTGCAGCTCTTACGCGACTCGGTCAAAGCCGAACGACTCTCTCCCGGCGCTGCGCATTCAGAAGAGGATGTAAATCCCACAGGGACACACAGTCGGGGCGACGAGACCGAAAGAGAAGGAATCCATGCACCGAGCACACAGATGGGGACAATGCATCTAGGCTCCAGGTCCGTGCTGGCCTATATGATGGGCTTGGGCAGAACAAAGACCGCTCAGGACACCGCCAAATCCCTACTCGAGGAGAACATTCTCCCAAAGTTGGGTTTGGACAACGAGAGTGCAACTTACCCGTTCGTCGACCTGTGGAGCACCGAGTCCAGTATGCAAGATGTCGATGGGTTGTGCAAAGCAATTCCGGATGATGAGCTGTGTAATGAGTAAGTAAGCCGCCAAGTTATCGAGTGCTGTTGGCTCACTCGGCACAGATTTTTTGTTGCGTACCGGGATATTGCCTGTACCATTTATCCTGTCGTTCCGGACGTGTCGGGCTTCGAGGATACCTTGCATTTCATGCTTTCCAATAGGTCACGGCACATTCGGGACAATCTCGAGTTGGATCCGAACAAACCATACGGTGTCTCCTTGCCCTGGCTAGCTCTGGTATTTGCCGTCTTTGCTTCTGGTTCCCAATCTTCAGACCGACCAGCCAAGGAACGAGAGCTCACTTCGCAAGTCTACAGTAAGTGCAAAGGCTAGGCACTTGGCTCATTCGCTGACCGCTAAACAGTATGCTGTTCCTACCAAGCCCTCCGCATGTCCAACTTCCTGACCCATCCCTGCCTGGAAACGATTGAAGCCTCCTTGATTATTGGCAACGTCCTCTCGTACAACATGAACCCCGGCGTGGCATACATCTACCTTGGCATGACCCTCCGGATGGCCTTCTCAATCGGCCTCCAAATAAATTCGCAACAGTTTACTGACGCCGAGAAATGGACCCGTCGCCGCATCTGGTGGGCACTCGCATGGCAAGATTCTCACTTTGCGGTTAGCTACGATCGACCTACCTCCAGTGTGCTGTGTATCCCCGATATCCCGTACGGGAAATTCAGCTCCCCAGGTGACCGAAGCTATGCGGAAACGATGTTTGCCATCATTAGACTCACGCAAGAAATCGTCCGTGAAAGGCTCCTACATCCACGATCGTATATGTCCTGGGATCGAATCCAGAAGTACACTGAAGAAATCACATTTCATGTCTCCCAAGGGGCAAGCTACCTCCGAAACCGCGACCTGTGCTATAAAATGACGCAACACCTCGAACGCCTCGCTTTGAAACTGCACAGCTGCTACATCACCTCTGAACTCTGTCGGCCTGCTCTCAAGGAAGCGCCTTCATCCTCCAGCGTGGAGAATCTGACACCAGTTCAATCGCCCCCGGGGTCTAGTCGACGAAAAACGTCAGGGACAGCGGGGCAATCTCCCAGCACATCGAACCCCGACCCCTCGACGCTCTCCCACTTTCGGACCATGTGCATACAAAATCTTGAAGGTGCGGTCGAGGCCTACGTGGAATTACACTCGCTCTCGAAGTTCGCCTCGCGCAGCTGGATCGGCATCCAACGATCTATTTCCGCCGCCTTCCTGCTGGGCACGTTGCCCGAAACGTCCCGCGATCCACGCCGTCTTGCTCTCCTCCGTGAACTCGAACAAGTCATCGCCCAGCGCACGCATGAAGACCCGACGTTCGACCTCCCACCTGACGCGAGTCCTCAGGCGAAGAGGCGCTTTAGCAACGAGGCTATGGAGGGCCAAGGACCGCCTTTGGCCGAAAGTCCCCACTGGGCAAGGAGCATGTCAAAATCGCTGAACGCGCTGGGGAAATTGAACGCCGCGCTTGCGGGGCCGAGACCAACCGCCCTCTCGACATACAACGCAGGCACCTATCCACCACCACCCTCCTCCAACTTATTCAAGGCTGCAGGCTCGGCCTCGGGTCTCCCGACGGCGAGTTCCCCGACGACGCAATCGCGATATCCGCCTCTGAGCGCCAGTGGTGTTCCAAGCGTGAATGCGATCAAACAGGAGACATACTCACCCTCTCTCGCCACGAGCAGCACGAACGGCCTTTTAGGCGGCATGAGTAGCGGCCCCGGGAGCCTCGGACCCATCACTCCAGATAGTACGGGATCGTCTAGCGGAGATTGGAATTTCGGCAACATAGCCGATCGGGCGGCCGAATACGTTCAGGCACCTCTCTGGGGCGAGGGAGGAGTGGGCACGATGTGGGATCGCTTTTGAGCGTGCTTGCACGCATGCACCAACGCTGAAAGGAGAGGTCACATTATACCTGTGGAGAGGTGCCACAAGGAGCAAGAAGGGCGTCCTTCTCTACGCTACTTGCAGCCTGGCGCAAGTGGTCTCTAAACATTGGCCACCCAAATGGGGATTGATATTACAGTATCCGAACTCGTGTCTCTCCGCGCGTACTTCCCTCATAGCACTGATGACTAGCGATTGTAGCCGTGTCAATTTTGTTCGACCGTCTTAGTGATTCTGCTCTACACTGTTGCGTCTGCGCGTCGTGGTCTATCGCAAGGGAAACCATAGTGGAAGCTCCAGGAGCGCACTAACGAGCCACCATTGCGCCGTCCATCCAGTATTACTCGGTAATGTCCATGTGCTCACTGAGGGAGTGGCAGGTTCGGTTCTCCTCCAAAGTAAGAGAGTTGACGCGCTCTTTCGGAGGGCTGGCCTCACATACTGTAGTTACGGATATCTCCCGCTGTTCGTGGCCAATTCGCTGATGGGGCTGATGTCTTCTTCTCTGCCGCATCAGAAACGCCCCTCTCGCTCATCCTTTTGATCTCTTCTTGTCCGCAAGTACGAAGTTGGCAGAATAATGATTCGAACGACAAGGAACTTCGATGGCAGGTTTGAGATAGTCCACACGTAGTGATCGCGGTCCACGAGTTGGAGAGTCGGTGGCTATTATGAAACATCTCCTACATCTAACATCAAGTAATTAGCCTGCCTGTCTCTTGTCGGCAAGCACCTCAAGACTTTTGAGACTTCGACCGGATCAGCCAGGCTTCAACACACTGGGCACCATGGGCGACGCATCGACCTCTGCCGCTGTACTCGCACCTCGAACAGATCCCCCACCCGTCCAAGCGGGTCTTCCCTCTGTTCACCCAACCGCCTCGTTCTGGCAAACGTCTCATCCAAACCCCCTTACCCACCACCGCTCTACACCAGATCTCCCTGTTCGCGCAGATGTCGTGGTCATTGGAACTGGCATCTCCGGGACATTTGCGGTCGATCAGTTGCTCGGCGAACTGGAGTCATCCACTGATTTAGGACCGGCACCCGTAGATGTCTTGGTGCTTGAAGCAAGGACCTTGTGCTCGGCTGCGACCGGTCGAAATGGCGGCCACCTTCAACCAGTCGTCCACGCCGCGCCGGCAAGCATTCTCGAATTCGAGATGAAAAACTTTGACCACATTTCGAATATCGTGCAGTCTAGCAGGATCCCATGCGATTTCCGCCGTCTCTCGGGCTGTCTCGGATTCTGGAACGAGACATATTTCGAGGAGGCGAAGAGAGATCTCTCGCTGGCGGGCGCAAAGCACGCTGAACTAGTCAGGGTGGTGGAAGACCCCGAGCAACTGAGGAAGCTAAGGTTGCAAGGCGGTGTCAAGGGAGCCATCGTGCAGAGCGTAGCCGCGAGCTTGAGTCCTTACAAGCTCTGCGTGAGTATATGGCAAAAGATGCTCAGCAGGTTCGAGACACAGCACCAACGCAGTGTGGACGGAGAGACCAAACAAGTCGCCCAAGCGGTGAAGGTGACCTTGAATCTCCAGACGATCACACCCGTCACGTCACTCGACACTACCGACAACGTCGTCGACCATGACGGACACAATAGATGGAAACTGAACACCCCTCGCGGCTCCGTCCACGCCAGGTCCGTCATCCTCGCTACAAATGGCTACACGTCACACCTCCTCCCCGAGTTCGCGCCCTTGATCCGGCCTGTGCAGGCGCAGATGTCTGCGCTGATACCTCCGCCCGTCTCGGCGCCAGATCGTGACCGAGCAAGAAAAAGAAGGCTCGTCCCCATGAGCTACGGCTTCGAGGGTGTAGGCACAATGGACCGCGTCATGTCGGACTATCTGGTCCAGAACCCCTTCGTCTCTCGCACAGCATCAGCGGAACAGACGAACGCGGCCTCGAATACCAATGACATAGGAGAAGGCGGCCACCTCATGTTCGGCGGCGGACGACACCTGGCATTCAACCACGGCGAACAGTGCTGGGACGACGACTTTGTAGACGAGAACGTAGAGAAATATCTACGCACTCTTCCCGAGAGACTGAATCTGGTCGCTGACTCTGACGCTAACACTGACAATGACAGTCACTCTTACACCGATCACCACCACGACGAGAACGATGACCTGACCCCTCAGCACCCGACTTTAGACATAGCGGCATCCTGGACCGGAATCATCGGCCACTCCGCCGACGGACGGCCCTGGGTCGGCCCAGTCCCAGATCGGCCAGGCATTTTCCTGTGTGGCGGGTACACCGGGCACGGCATGACCAACGCGCCTCTCTGCGGACGGTACATCGCGCGAGTTGCTCTGGAGGACCTCCGACCGCAGCACGCAGGCCAGGCCACGGGACCGGCGCCAGGGGACGGAAGTGGAAATATAGACTCGCAACTGGAATTGGACGTCGATATGCATGTGCCAATGGCGTATCTGATCAGCCGGGAGAGAATGGAGACTCTATCACGTCGAGACTGATGCGGCACGTGTACATACACATACATACATGACCAGTATAGTACCGTGTATGTACCCAGGTACCTAGACGTTTGGCACTACGAGTGTATCACGACCGTACGACCTTTGTGACATCGAGGCGCGCCACGCCGAAAACATGTCATGAACCGCGGCGCGCCCGCGTTCATAACAAGCCATATAAGCTAAAGAGGTCCAATAATCCAGCACAAAGTGCTAGGATTCACGGTCTTTATGGGCGATCCCCAGAGGGCTGTGAGCCTCGCCTGACAATACACAACACCACCGAGTCAGCGTTGGACTGTGTGAGAAATGCTTTACTGGGCGGGAGGGGCCGCCTGGGCTAGAGATCTCTTTTCACTGTGGGTCTCTGCAATGGCTGCGAATACACATACACAGTACACAGCACCGGTTGGTTATTATGAAACCGCGGGGCGAGAGTCAATTGGTTGGTTGGATGGCTAAGCAGATATCCAAGCTCGGCTCTGTACATGTGTGCGAAGAAGGCTGACCGAGGTCGGGTAGGATTCGTGAGTGTTGGCTGTTGGAAGTCTCACGGTCAAAGCTGGATGGGCATGTTCGAGCACCATATTTCCGAATTATATGGCGCAGAAAGTGCGACATGCAGGTAATACTGGGGATAGGAAGTCTGATACAGACTGTGCATAACCCGGTGGGAAGCAAGAAAGCAAGGAAGAAAGGAACAGGAGCGAAACGTATGTTTTCACCAAATCAGATTGACTCATTGCTCTGTTCTTCGCGTACATTTTTCACGAATCGCAGTGGTATGGTTCACAACTTTCTCAGGCGGGCTATTCTGGTATCCAAGGTACAGGAGGATGTCATCTGTCCAAACACTGCAACACTCATCTGCAATTAGAGCCAGACCAAGTCGCATTCTCAGGTTGCCTGCTTTCAAGCTCCAACAGGGCGCAGTCCTCCCTCGAAATCAATCTCGCAGAACTTCTCAATCGGGTTGTCTCCGGTTTCGAGGTTTGGCCAAGTCTTCCTGATCGAGGAACGGTGGCAATGAAACAAAGATTGCGGCCGTCAAACGCCATTTCCACCGTGTATTCGACGTGCCAGCAAGTCATGCTGTCGTTTGGTGGGCAGGCTCGAGTAAGAGGGACGCCTGCAAGGTCTTCTTTGGTGACAGTGCACACCCACGGGAGTGCATCTGACAACAACTTCCGGCTTTCCCGTTCGTCGAGTTCAACGATGTCTTTGGCGATGGTGTCGGAGCACAATATATGCACTTTGAGGTCGAAGATCTCCCTTCCATCGTTCAGAAGTGGAATCTCTCAAAACATCAGAGCCTCTATCTTCATCAACAGAGCGGAGGAGCGCAGCGTGTGAGGTCTTGCCATTTCTTAGCTACCTTGCAACGAACTTCATGACTTTCTCTTGGCTTCCAACATGACGAAGCGAGCAATATGGACACCCAGAAAGCTGGAGAAGCTGTACGAAGCTCTGGACGAGATAGCCGAGACTGGTTCCGGCGTGACTCCTTGGCCGGAAGCCTTCGAGCTCATGCACGAGAAGACGGGATTGAGCAAGGTACAGGTGTCCGACAAGCTGCGTGGTTTGGGCCAGAAACACAATCTGAAGCTCAATCGAGAGGAGCTCGTCCGACGCTGGGCCGAAGTCTCGGTCAACTTCAAGTGAGGCGAATCCCACCACCAAGATTGTCCGGCATTCGCAATCTCCCCGTCGATCACCGACACGGTCTAGTCAAGCGACTAGCCGAGCTTCGCACAGCTACACGCAGTCTCCTAAAAGTGATAACAATCCTAATCCGCCGAAGCACACCCATGACCAGCTTTATGGAGCTGCGTCAAACGAGGTGCAAGGAAATGGGGAACAGCACAATGACAGCAGCAGGGAAGCTGATGCGCCGACCAACAGTGGCTGCGACAACCACGCCGATAACAACGAAAACAATAACGATGCAGAAGAGCCGGTCATGATGTTGGAGATCGCGCCCTATGAATGGGATATGATCCATGCATGGCGAGACTTCATGCATGGTAAGAGATTCTTGTCGCCCATGTCCAGAGAGGACGTGAGTCGCGAGCTCAGCCATACCTGGAGACTCCTCATTGAGGGCATCAAATCGTTCTGCAAGGCACAGCCAATCGCTCATCTCACCACAGCCAAATTGTCACGGCCAACTTTGGAATTGGCGCGGACATTTACGACTGGCTATCGGCGCCCCGACGTCGACGAGTGTTTGAACACTCTCTTTGGCGACCCTGCACTCAATGTGCCCCTTATCCTTCGTGCATTTGCCGCTGCTGCGATCACTGTAAGTTTGACCCTATGCGATTCTGCCCTTGATAGAAAGAAGTTCCTCGTTTGCTCCTCTATCCCATCCGTGGCTGTTTCCTTACAGCTGATCATCTGCCACGTTCAGACCTGGGTCTTTGCAGATTTCCCATCTTATCGACCTCCGCCAACAGGATCCGCACTCGCTCACTGTCTGAAGGTGCTCGCCCACTGTAAGTCTCCCCCCTATGCTTCTAGATTTCAACTATCTGACAACGAACAGTCAACTCACATGCTGCAAGAGACACCGAGGAAGCGATGGAAGTTGAGTATTTCGACAACGTTATCGCGCCAACGTTGCCGCAGCTTGCAAAGCAGTACCGCCATGACCTCTTTGTCGGTTTCTCAAACCTCCGCGTTCCGCTTGAACGGCATTTCTATCCACAAGAAAATCAGAACGCCGAAAATGCTCCGGATTTTGCCTTTCGAAAGCAACAGCATTCCGACTGGGCTGCCCACATCGAAAAAGCGTTTCTAGTCGCGCTGAAGTTGCGCCTTGAACTGGCCAAAAGCAAATCTGTCTGGGAATTCAACTTCATCCGCCAAGGACAGAAACTCGAAGACAATCTGATGGTACCTATGGTCTCAAAGGCAGAAAAACCCACTCCAAAGAACCTTGTCCTTCAATGCCTGTCTCCAGCTACCAGCTACTACCAGCGGGGCGAGCGTGGACACACAGGTTCAAAATGCCTCCACGTCTACGCCAAGGTCATAGTCGAAGGACTTGCGGTGAACGAAGCTGCATTACTGGGTTCGGCCAACCCGAACGAGGACAAACTATGAGAGGTCGATCATCGACGCCTGAAACCATCTATCTCCAACATCTTGTCTCCATTACTCCTGAAGCTTCTACATATCATGATACGCTGCTATTTTTCAAGAAACAGGGCGGTTATGGTTGGGAGAAAGGCATTCCTTCCGTGAGGAGCCTTGCGAACTCAGTCCGCATCTAAGCCGGAAGGTAGGGTGACTAGAACAGACATGTATCTGCCTTGAAATATCATCTTTCGACAAATCTAGATTGTGAGTCACACCTCGGTATTGCGAGAGCGGAGTCGATTGTAACCTGTCCATCAGATCAAACCGCATCTTATCATCAATCTTAGGTTTCACGCTTCTAACCAAATTGAGAAACCGGAGTTGTTGCTTTTTCGGTAGAGCCTTTTGTACGGTGGAGTGTCATCCCATGGGACGCTTCCATCGCTACACGATCACCACCTAGTCACTCTTCCTGCGCACACTGGAAACAGCAATGGCACCATGGATTCAGCAGATGACGCATCATTTGTCCACCTACCGGACGAGATGCTGAGATTCGTCCTCCAGCACTTCCCGGCCTCGGAATGTGCAGCCAGGCTAGGCCAGTTGACGTTGCGTGGCCGAAAGCCCATCTCAACACCACACTATGTCGTCCCAACGTCGAGAGGTGTAATACCTCACCTGTCGCATGACAACGTGCAGAAACACACCAAGATCTCAGCCGTCTACGTGCCTCTGGAAGACTGTATGTTCCCCTCTTCAGCGTCCTGCTGGCCTGCTGACTTACGCGGCTCACAGTTGGTGGATGAACAGTTATCGAGAAATCGAATGCGCCCGTCTACAACACGCCCTGTACGGGCAAAGAGTCGCGTCTACGACGGTACACTGGCTTGCCGGAGCCATGTTTGTCGATCTTAGGCCCTAGGCGAGTGCCCTACATCCCCTGTCCGGCACACAACACGAACTCGTCAATAGCCATTTCGACCTCGGTGGGCTTCAGGTTTTTGGACGTGGACAAGTATAATGAGGCTATCAACATCCTACGGCCCGATATCTCGATAAGCATCGCAGACTTGATCAACACGACAAATGCCAGTGTCAAGAGAGTAGAGAAGAGTGCCGACAGGACACATGCCTGGCTGCGAGATTTCGTAGAGGACAACGACGGAAGAGACCACCAAGGACCGTTCTTCGCCTCGATCCCTCCTGTCGAGACCGAGCTGATGTCACTGTATCTCTCTGACCTGAGCGATGAGTACAGATCGCACATCTCAGGCTTGTGCTTATACTCGTCGTCGACGGTGTTAAGCCTGCCAGACGCCCTGCGCGACACCCCGAAGCTATGCCTTGCCGATCCACAGACGCCGCAAGCCGTCCTTGCGGCGATTCATGCCGGGGTCGACATGCTTACAGTCCCGTTCGTGACACAGTTGTCCGAACACGGCATCGCCTTCTCATTTACCTTTCCTGGCGTCCCGGAACGACCCAACAACGACATGCACACGCACACGCACACGCACATGCCCCTGGGCATCGACCTGTGGTCCACGAGCCATGCCACGGATCTCTCCCCTTTGAGCCCAAATTGTACCTGCTACACCTGCACGCGGCACCACCGCGCTTACGTCCATCACCTCCTCCAAGCCAACGAGATGCTCGCGTGGACGCTCCTCCAGATCCACAATTTCAGCGTCATCGACACGTTCTTCGCCGCCATTAGGGCGAGCATCGAGCGCGGGACCTTCTCGGCAGATGTCCACACATTTAGCCAGTCGTACGAGTCCGAGATGCCCGCGCAAACCGGTCAGGGACCCCGAGTGAGAGGCTACCAAATGAAGAGTATAGGCGGGGGCGAACCGAAGAAGAATCCCAAAGCGTACGGCCGGTTGGACGATCAGATGGAGAAGCTTCGCGAGAGCGAGAGTGGGATTGCGACGCCCGAGGGCAAGGCCGAGGATCTTGTAGAACACGGCTTGGCCGAGAGGGTCGAAAGGCTGTAAGATGAAAAGCTACAATAGCTGAGGTGCGGTACGGTATTTATCTCAGCGATCTGAACAGTCATATAGACAGATTAAACATATATCGTTTGGTCCCTACAGTAAATTACTCAGTGAAGACGCTCACATACCACGCACCACCTCTCTCAAAAGCGGCCCGACCTGTTTCCGACTCTTGCTCGTGTCGCCCATGAACCAGATCTTGTACTCTCCTCTGTGTCCGAACTTCTGCCCCAGCGCCCGCTCGAGGGTGTCATCCCCATCCCAACGTTGGAGCTGCAGCTCACCACTCTGGCTTTGGCGCTCGAACCTCTCTACCAGGCCTTTGACGGCCTCGTCGAACGCCAGGACCACCACTTCTTTACGCCCGTCGCCCGTCCGGGTCAACATGCAGAACACGCCCAACCTCCTCTCGGGATTTCTGGCGAAGGTCTCGATCTCGGCGAGGAACTCGTCCACACCCCCCGCGTGCTTGGCGAGCCAGGACAACGGCCGAACCAGGCTCGAGATGCCGATATTCATGTCCCGGCCAGAGGAAGTACGTTCGCTCCAGACTTTATAGTCGCGGTCGAATATCTCCTGCATGGAGAGCAGGTCCAGGGAGTTGGATTTCGCCGTCGCAACCGCGGAGTGGAAAGCGTCGCGGTGCCATTCCTGCGTGGGCGTAGGTGTGGATGCTGCTGCTTGCACGCCCTGGGCAGGGGCGCGGGTGATGACCGATTCGAGGAACTTGACGGCCTCGCGGTCTGTGTCTGAGCATTTGTCGCCGGTGGCTTTGAGGTTCGCCGTGTCGATCAGTATGGGTGCGAGCGCGAGTTTGCAGATATTCTGCAGTGCTTGGGATTGTGAGGATGGTGGCTCAGACGGCCACAGCGCTTTGTCGCGGAGATACTTGATCACTAGGCTTGTGCAGCTTCCTATGCCGGTGGTGACGATCCGTGGGGTCGCGTCTCTGGGGACATGGTCCTCGTCGACGTGGTGGTCGATGCAGCCTGTCACCGTGAAGCGGGAGGAGATGAGCTTGTCGGCGAGTCCCGGTATCGAGGGGGCGTTGTGATCAACTAGGAAGAGGTCTTGTTTCTCGACGCCCTTGGCAGATTCGGCATCCGTTGGTTCCCTGAACAGGCGGTGGAAAAGGGAGTTTGGATCCGATTTGATATCGGCGATGGTGATCAGATCTTCCAGCACGGATGGCTTCCCTTGCTCACCCGCTTTCCCTTGGTTGATGGCGTCGGCTGATTCGCCCAGTGCTAGGCGGATGGCGACGCCGAATTCGGGCCGTAGTCTCCACAACTCGGTTGCTTTGACTGATGGCAGATTCAGGATAGGGATATATGTCCTCCCTTTGGCATGTTTCGAATTGCTCTGGAGGTTGTAGAAGTAGGATGTGGTAACAGCTGAGATGAAACTGTCTAGGTCTGCTGACGGATTTCCCATGACCAGAACAGAATTGGACTTTCCATGGACGGCACTCGCGGAGCTGGCATCTGTTGAGAGTACACGACTCCTGATCTGCGAAAGGTAGGTCCTTAAGAGTGGCATGCTATTGTCCTCGTCTGGTCCGCTCTCAGCCAGGTGACGTTGAGACATCGGGGCGTGAGCCAGCAGGCGGGGGAGAGTAAAAGCCTGTCAATGACTGTATCCTATGGTGTAATAACTTGTATAGCCATCAGTTCAGCTCATCTCGCGTGCCTTTACACTTAGTTTCCAAGTCTCAAATCCTCAGCCTCGTCCAACGAGCGTGACGTCAGTTGTCCACCGAGATTCAACCGCTATCAGCCTCGCTCTTCAATCCAACTGTATGTCTCGTGTAATTATCTGGGTCTCATTTTGAAGAGGAGTCCGTTCGCGCTCCATACCTATGCAAACACCAACCGTGTTACCTGAGTTTGACTTCAATATAAGGAGAATTGTTAACCCTTACGGTAAGCCAGGGATCCCGCCCCGTTGGGGTGCCAGCCCAAATGCATGCTACTCGCGTGAATTTCTAAGGATCAGCGAGGTCTGGGGAGTCACAGCAAACGCGAGTCTCGTTCGGCGACACATCTCATCCTGCTCCGGCCTGGAGATGCCTCTTCCGGTCAGTTGGTGCGAGCATCGAATACTTGAGCATCGCGGGACAGCACTGTCGTTGTGCCAGATGACATGCACTCCACTCCACTCGGACTGCCCGTTGGGGAAAGAATCAATTGCCGGAGTGAGAGAGCGCGTTGAAGAGGGCACAAAGATGGCTGATCGGTTGGAAAGTACTCGTATCGCCGCGGCTTGTGATTTTTCAGGACCGAAACAGACTGTCGAGTATCGAGCCCTTAAGCAAGCAATCCAGCTGAGACGGGACTAGCCTTGATCTGATCCTCTTGAATCTCCTGCGGCAGGGGATCTTTGTAGTCATCCAAGTCCAAGTCCATGAATCTGCAGGCCGCCCACTTTCTCGCTGCAAGGAAGAAAGAATGCCCATTGACTTCTGGATCGGACAATCTGCGCAAGAGACATCTGCCCGCGTCTTCGGCCTCTGCGAACTCTACGCCCACAGCAGACACTGCTGGGTCTAGTCTCATTGCGGAGAAGAAGATTGAGCTTTGGGTTGATCAGCGGCCCATGAGGGACGTGAACAAAGAGCTGGTGGATATCGAGAATGGTCTGGCAAGGTACAGATCCAATCCCACTGCGCAACGGTTCGGTCAAAAATGGAGAATAGATACCCAGAATAGCATTTATCATGAGCGATTCTCTCCGGAAGTCGGAGCCTGGCTGTTCATGCCACGAGCTACACGTTTGACACTACGATCACTGCGACCAATCCAGCGTGTGACGAAGTCGAGGCTGCGGCAGATTGTGACGACTGTTTCCTGCAGAAAGAGCCTGATATTCTCGCACCTTGCGGTGCTGGCGTCACGTCACTCTAAAGAGCCGCATTATGCGGCAATGAGCACATGCAGCTGATCGCGGGGATGCTGAACAACCCACAACGGAACACAGCAGGACCGTAGCCCGGCACACACATGCAATGGCTCATCCGACCCATGAGGAGACGACGGGGACATGCCCGAACTCACAGAGACTTGACAGTCACTGCTGCCAGCAACTTGCCGCCACCCCAGCCGAGTTCTGCTTTGACCAGTAGGAGACTGACGGGGCCGAACCTGTCCACGCAGATCATGGACGACGACGCTTGGACTGCATCAAGGCTGGAGCAGATGAACCACATATCATCGAGGAATTCCACCTTTGACGAGGATGGTTTCGGCTGAGGTCACGGACCCACGACAGCTCGTCCTGCAGAGCGCGATTCCAGGAAGTCATCTGGCCGAGAAAGGCACGAGATTGCGCGCGGAAAGAATACTCATAATGATAGTCACAATAGTCGTAGTCGTACTCGTGCTGTCGGGAGAAACCGAACTGAGTCGAAAGTGAAGAAAGAGTGAAAGGAGTGAAAAGGGGCAGTAGTTCCGCAGAGTCTCGGATTCTGATTGGTGGACTGGATCGAACATGTGGCACTTTTCCATCGCGTGCCCATTGAATTCTGGACGAGTTCGCGGTCTCCCTTTCATGTTTGCCAGCATATCTCTCAACAATGACGCCGTCCTCAATCTTACTCGGCCTGCTGGCTCTGGCCGTCTCGAGCGTCCACGGCACAGCGCTGACATACAAACTGGCCGCCAACGAGAAAGCCTGCTTCTTCACGGATGTCCAACGACAAGGGGCCAAGGTCGCGTTCTATTTCGCTGTAAGTATGGCATCGACGTCTCAGTTGAGATATTGACGCGTGAAAACCACAGGTCCAATCTGGCGGCTCCTTCGACATTGACTACGAGGTTGTCGGACCGAATGACAAGAAGATCATGGCGGGAGAAAAAGAGAGGCAGGGAGACTTTGTCTTCACAGCACAGACAGCTGGCGAGTACCGCTTTTGCTTCAACAATGAGATGTCGACGTTTGCGGACAAGATGGTCGACTTCGAGGTTGCGGTACGTTGCTCCTATGATGGCTTTCCATGCAGCAACAGAGTCTGATCTTCGGGCGCATGCAGGTCGAAGACGAATCCAAATCCGCCCTCCTGCCACAGAAGGCTGGCTCGTCCCCGGAGCAATACTCCGCGCTCGAGGATGTGATATTCAAGGTTACAGGGCAACTGAGTACAGTCATTCGCATGCTGAAATACTTCCGCACCCGCGAGAATCGCAACTTCAGTACGGTCAGGAGTACGGAGCAGAGGATATTCAACTTCAGTTTGATTGAGGTGCTTATGATGGTTGCTATGGCCGGCCTGCAGGTTGCGGTTGTGCGGTTCTTCTTCACGGGGTCCAGGAAAAGTGAGTCTGAGCTGGTGTATATCGGAAGTTGTGCTGAGGCTGATTTGACTGTCTACAGGCTATGTATAGAAGCCACGCATTATGCTGCGCGGGACGAGCATGTTATGCATGCAAATACGACATGGCAACACGGTCTCGAAAAGACTGTACTTGCCCTACTCGTTGGTATCCGCCTTCCACGTTGCAGCTTGAGCCTACCACGCCTGCCGCTCTATCAAGAATGCGGCCTGCCTTTATTTTCTCTGTTCTCTATTTTTCGACCATCCATACCTCATGACAACTTTCGTTCTTCGACACTGTACCCAGATCTGATTTCACATCCACAGAATCTATTTCAGTACTATTTCATGTTGCCAGACGATTATTCAGCAGCTGACGGCCCTCGCTTAACATAACACTCATTCCGACATGGCGGCCCCAAGTCCAGAGCCATCAGGCTCATCTCTCGATAGCATGCCTGCAGAGATCCTCGAGGAGATCTTCTGGCACTCACGGGAACTATCCCTTATCAATGTTTGCCGCAAGTTTCGGAAACAACTGCCCCCTTTCTCTTGTCTCGCGCGATCTTTTGCGATCCTGGCCTTTTGCGAGGTGGATCAACCTGCGCAGCTGCAGGGAGGCGAGGTGGAATTATTGACGGGAGCGATAACAGGAGAATTTCTTGATCGGTATCGACTACCTGCGCCGTGGCACGAGAGGCTTCCGACACGCCTAAGCATTGCTCAGCGTGCCCAGTTACAGCATAATGTTCTGTCCAGCGGCTAGTGGTGCGTTGGCCGCTTCAACGCCCTGCATCTTTTCATCTACCGGCGGTATCTGCTCGCCCTCAGAGACCGTATTCAAGATACTCACGTCATCTTGGGGCCAGTGGATGACTCTAGGTTCAGGAGACACCTTCGGGAAACACACAAGCTCTGGAGGAATTGGATACACAGTCCTCTTTCTTGCGCCGACACTCTGGTGGAAGTCAGAAATTGGTCCAGGTTGTCACCAGTCACCCTCAGGCTTAGAATCAACATGGGACCCAGCTCCATGACTAACCTCTTCACCTTCAATTCGTTGCCCATCTTTCTATCCTTCTCGCAATATGCACTCAGCTTTCTCGATCGACAATCACGCTACTTTGACTGGAGAGCCCTCGATGCAGAAGACGACGGTCACCTTGTCCCTACCAAAAATGAAAAGAACTACTACCTTCCACCGCGCTCATTGCTCCGTGGTCCTTTCACCACGCGAAAGCGTGGGATCCTCATATACCTCGTGCAGGAACCTGCCATACGAACCTTCGTCACCGAAATGGTCGAGCATCGGGACCACGAGGCAGATGCGAACCTATTATATCAAGCAATCTTGGGTGCATACCCATCGGGGATGTGCAATTCCTTAGATATTTGCTCTACTTTGCGGTCCAGGTGGATTCAGCTAACCAGGGGTTTCCCACGGGCCCAGTCAACGAGTGGGAGTCCACTGCGCGCTCTGAGAATGGCAAGATCCCCTTAGACATCGGGCTCACATTAATCAAACGTCTTCCTGTCTTCCCGAGGGGCGAAAGAGGAGAGAAGTACATCTTTGAAGCGATAAAGGCCGGGCACACGGACGTCTTCGCTCTTCTGGCGGACCATTGGTTGCTGGCGTGCACCGAAGAAATGTTGGGCCACTTTGATTCTACACTGACACGGCTACTGCAGACGGCCCTCGAAGGTGCTCTTGCAGAAGATGGCGATGTCGACGACAGTGCAGACGTCCGGGCCCGGATGCTCATTGCTGCGAGACGTCGAGCCATCGAAGGAGCTAGGCGCGTGATCGAGTACGAAAGCGAGAAGCTGGATAGACAACGACCGTGGACACCCCGCCACGTTGATGTGAGCTCTTTGGGCAGTCTGCACGAAGAACCCTCCAAGGCTCGATAGCGACGAGTCGGACGGAAATTGTTGACGTGCATCTGCTCCAGAGGACGAATCTGGCGGTCTTCGGGGGAGAGAGACCTTGAGGATGAGATGTCGTAGCTGCTGACGGCATGAGCATTTGGGTTATGGTGTTTGACATCGGTTCACCGATCGTTACGGATATATCTAGCAGCTTTCATTTAGAATTTACTCGTTACAATTGAGCCAGCCAGTTCGGTAATAGTACTTTCACCCTACATCCACTCGTATTCGAAGGAATCTCTGTAATTATGGTGAGGGAGAACGACCAGCAAAGAGATTTGCAGATTGGATGGCAGTCCACAAATCGATTCTGCGCCGGTTTTTCCTCTCAGACATTGAATAATACTAGCACTAACAGTGACACTGACACTGACACTGACACTCGAACATCTTCTTCATACGTGTACTCACGTTCGTCATTGATACACCGCCACTGTAGCCAAAACCACTGTCAACAATCAACACTCAAACATCTTGGTCGTGCTGACGTTGATGCGGCTCCACTTCCTGGCCCGCACGAGACTGTCCCAGAACCGGAGCGGCCAATAGACATGGTAGAGCCACCACCAGGGAAGAGGATCCCAACGCTGGAATGTGCCGTCTTTCCAGGTGGGGGAGGCGACGTGACGGATGAATTTGGCGTAGCTTTGAAGAGCTGTTGAGACAGAGGTAGAAGCAGCAGAGGACCGGGAGGAGCGCCCAGAAGCGGTTGCGGAGAGTGTAGAGAGGAGTGAGAAAGTCGGAAGGATGATGCGGGTGACGAGGTCATGGCCTACCCAGAAGTATTTGTCCTTTCGGGCCGGGTGGATCACGAGGGTGGCGGCCGTACCATTTGTGTTGTTATTGCTGGTAGTATTGCTGGTAGTATTGCTGTGGTTGCTACTGTCCTTGTCCTGGTCCAGATCCAGCGCGGAGAGGTAGGCGTCAACCACCGCCGTCGTGCCGTTGAACAGTGCCACGGCCGTGTGTGCTCGGGGATTACATTCGATGGGATAGAGGGTGATATCTTCCGGGGACAGTGCCTTCTCGTCGCGCTCCTCGACCATAAAGTCAAAGGAGAGATGGCCTGTGAATCCCGTACCACCGTGGGCGGCATACCGCCTGGTGAAGTCAAGCATCGCCTGACTGAGCGGGGACTCGAAGGGCAGTCCGTCGTAATGCATGAGCAGTTCGGCCGACGGACACGCCACGAAGGCCTTGACCTGCCCGTGCACGACCAGCGAGTGCGTGCAATACTCGTTGCCGCGGATGTACTGCTGCAGAATCCAGGGGGATTGTGGCGAGATCTTGAGCCTCGCGAGATGCTTGGACGTCTCGACGCCCGAGTCCCTAGGCAGGAGAGTCATGTCCGCGCGCGCCGAGTCGTCCACGCCGATCGTCTTCATGATATATTTCCGCCCAGGCGGCGTGTCGCGCAGGATGGCCTCCACCCGGGCGCGGCTCGTGATCTCGTGTGTCTCGGGGACGTGCAGGCCCATGTCCCGGGTGTGCTTGATGAATGAATGCTTCTCGTGCAGTATCTGCGTCGTGTGCACGTCGAACTGGATCGCCTTGCAGGGCGTGCGCGATTCGACGACTTCCTTGGCCATGCCGTCCTCGACCGCCGACGCGACGCCCGAACAGCTGACCCAGAGGTCGACTTTCTCTCGCGTCACAATGTCCAGTAAATTCTGGATATACCTGTCTGGTGAATTTCCTGCAGGGGTACCTGGTTTCTGGGTGGGCGCCTCGAGGCGGTAGAACTTCTTCAGCGACCGCGAGACCCTCCCGCACGCGAGGGCCCCGTCGGGTTCAAAGTCCGCGCCGACGACGTCGTGGCCAGCTTCGTGGAATAGTCGTGCTAACGCGAGGCCCTTGGTCATGCCCACGCCGGTGACCAAGACTGTGCGCGGGTGGAATCCATGTTCTTGCCGCGCTTCTCGTCGGTGGTGCTCGACTTCGTTCGGAAGGATGGCACGGAAAAGGAACGACGCAAAGAGGATGAATGTATCAAGGGGAAGGAAAGCAAGGCTGAGGAACAGAAGAGCGGCATTCTGCAGCCGGTGCGCGAGCAGGCTGGAGTTACCGTCGAGCATCTTCGTGTCGGGGGTTTGATGTTGCGAGATCGAGCTCCTACGCGTAGCTGCCAGATGCCAAGGATGTTTGTAACGATGGACAGAACGGCAAGTTAGAGCAAGTGGCAGGACAGTGAGAGGCTTTCACATGCATAGTGGTGTTCACAGGGTCATCGACGTCACGAAATCGAGGGTGGAGCTCGAAGTTACCTGTCATTTTGCGAGGCTAATGCGGCGGCGAGATGGGCGGTCAAGACTCTTGGGTGGACTAGTTATGAAGAGCATTATCAAGAGCATATAGCGAGGGCTGCTGGAGTCAAGAAGCGCGAGGGTGATTCGGAAGAAGACGAAGAGGAGGAATGGTGAAATGCTCGCTGACAGAAAGACCTGAAATGACCGCCAAGGGCTGTCTTGTCATTTTCGATGCTCAATAATAGCTTCCAGTTGTGGATCACTGCGACTATGACAAGCTTGGGCTCCGGATTGAATTGTAGATGTATACCTGTATCTACCTAGGTAGCTCTCCCAACCAAGGCCGCCCGCCTGTCTATACCTTGTGGTCTCCTGCGCGTTATGCCTCGGCCAGGCCGACGCATCTGGTGATTTCGAGGGCATCCTAGATCGTGTTTAGCGCTGACGGGGGACTTGAGGCAGATTGACACTCACTGGTACGCCTGAAGGCTCGTAACTACGCACTAACTTACTCTCGTATATCAACAACGGGTTCCCCGTCCTGGTTTCGTCCAGCTTGGCGTCTCCCTCTCTCTGGAAGTATTGTTTTGCCGTCCGATCAGCAAAACGGCTATCGACACCATTGACGGTGGCAGCCGACTTGCTGGCCTGCTTCTTCTGCTCAACAGTGCTGCGGACGTATTCGAGGTAGGGTGGGTTTCCGGGCTTGATGACGTTGTCGGCGGCAAGCACAGTCCCAGGAGTGACCAGCTTGAGCTCCTCACAGAGCTTCAGGTCAGTCGTGTACGCTGGCTTGTAATGGTCGAGGAACATCAAGTCGATGTGCTGCAAGTCTCCTCGTATATGTAACCGCTTGAGTGAAACGTCGCTGGACCCTACCACGACTTTGACAATGTCGCCCAATCCAGCGAGATCGACCAGGGAAGAAATGACAGCGGCGAATCCCGGGTTCCGTTCAAGGCTGAAATATCGTTTGCCACCAGCATGACGCACAGCATCTCCGAACAGAATGCACGAATATCCAACGTAACCGCCAAGCTCAACCATGACCTGAGGCTTGACCTCGGCTATGAGATCCGCCACGATTCGGCCTTTGTCCTCCCCAACGTTCATAAGGTACTTCTTCGTTCGGGCGAATTCGTCAATGGCAGCGAGCACCTTAGGAGGGCAATCTCGAATGTCCTCGATGTCGGGTCTGTTGTAGATGAAATGCAGGAGCTCGATCTCGCGGCCATCGTCAAACTGCAGAATGATCAGTAGCGTCCGCACCTTAACGTCCACTTGACCGTACAAATGTCTCTTCCTGTTCCTGGTATTTCTTCTGAGGATCAAATTCAGCCATTGTTTCGCGGAATTTCTGGGAGAGAACCAGGTTGCAGAACTATGATGGGCATAAGATTGTGCTTGTGGTCTACTCCAGAAGAACGTCGAGGACACTTCCCTTCTGAACGGAGAGAGCGGGACGGCAAGAAAGAATGCAGATTACCTATCACCACAGCACCATGTCTTCGAGTGACACTCATTTCAGGCTCGGAAGTGATTGCAACCAGTCAAAGTGAGGGTGCGCCACTGACTTACACTGCAGGAACACGAAGAGGGCGTAGGCGTGACGGATAAAGTGTGGTCAGATCTGGCTGCCGTGGGGTAGCGAGGGAGATCAGGGAGATGCGGTACGAGGTATGAGATCGATCGTCCGGTCGTTACACAGGTCGGTATGATGCCGACAGGTGAGATGGACCAGTGGATGAAGGTGTCCGGGGGACGTGGCGAGAGAGACGCGGGGGGTGATGATTCGACGATGTTCGAGCAGCCAATGAGGGGGAAATGCGCTAGTCCTGTTTCTCTCTAGCTTCTGCTGGCCTGCGACGAGCTTCAATTCAACATTTCCAGATGTTGCTGTCTTGGAGAGCACGTACATTTTCTGGCGTCGACAGTCGTCATCATTCGCTCCATCTGGGTGCTTGAACGAGAGACCAACCATCTCAGATGTCGACCAAACATGGCTCACCCTCTGATGACATTTGCCGAAGCCTCCAGCCGGGAGTTTGATCCTCAGATCGGAGCCCACTGAAGCACCCTGGCCTGGGCAGGGACATCTGCTGCCGAGCTCTATGTGCAGGCCATTCGGCTCTTCCTGATCCCCGACCGGGAAGATCTGGCAGCGATGCGGGTGCCTGGCAATGATCAGATTGACGGGAGCGTATGGGCCTACCTACGGCCAAACCACGATCCCTGATGCCCTGGACAAATGTTCCCAGTGGTGTCTTACCTCATTACCATCTCATTTCTGCATCATCACTGAGCCGGGCCTGAATCTAAAACGGCGCCAACTCTGGTTTGACACTTCTCAAATGCCGGTTCCAGGGGAGCGCTCTGCACACCGCGTTTTGCGTGCCAATGCTGGACCCGCATGTGGACTCGTTCTGCGAGAATACCTGGTTATGGCTGACGATGTACTCATCGTCGACCTCATCGACTGGCCTATTCTGCAAGACGGAAGTCGAGTTGTATGGTCGGGGTCTGATCACAACCAGTACGCGCCGTTTCCACACGGAACTCTCCTGCACATGCGGCGGCCTTCCCGTTGTGAGGTACTGTTATATTAACACTGTTATATTAGGTTCGAAACGTCTTCCTCGTGAATCTCCCACCCTCTCAACCGCGTTCTCCAGCAGCTGCCGTGTACGCACATCCTCGTAAAGCTTGCGAAAATGTCCGACCTCAAAGCATCAGTCGCTGAGACAGCGGCTGGCTTCCACGTGGAAGGTTACGAGAAGATCGAATATGACTTCACTTTCATCGACGGGGTTTTCGACACCTCGAGAAGCGAGCTTGCCAATTGCTATCAACGATGGGGACGCTGCCTTGCTGTCATGGACTATAACATCTTCAATGTCTACGGCGAGCAGATGCAGAAGTACTTCGACCACTACAACATTGACCTCGATGTGCACAAGACCATGATCGGTGAAAAGGCCAAGTCCATTGACACTTTCTTGAGCATTGTCGATTCCATGAATAAGTTTGGGATCTTTCGAAAGGTGAGATAGAACGCCACTTGTAGTGCACCAGTGAGCTGACCTCTCCCTAGGAACCCGTACTCGTCATTGGCGGTGGACTTGTTACAGACGTTGCCGGGTAAAAACAAACCACCTGCCAAAGATGACTTCAAGGCACTCTGGCCCATATATCTCCTTGCTTGTATGTCTGTCGAGGGGCTTTCGCTAACCTCTGTCCAATCAATAGTTTCGCATGCGCGGCGTATCGGCGGAACACAAACTACATCCGCATACCTACAACTGTCATTGGCCTGATCGACGCGTCGGTGTCCATTAAGGTTGCTGTCAACTACGGCAACTACAAGAACCGGCTCGGTGCCTACCACGCCCCGATGCATACATTCCTCGACTTCACGTTCCTCCGCACTCTCCCGGAAGCGCAAATCCGTAACGGTTTCGCTGAGCTAATCAAGATTTCTACTTGCGCTCATCTTCCGACGTTCGAGTTGCTTGACAAGTATTGCGAGCAGCTGATCGGAACTGGGTTCGGCCGAGCCGATGGCGCGCCGAAGGAAGTACGCGATGCTGCGGACGCCATCAACCGAGCTGGTATTCATGAGATGCTAAAGCTTGAGACACCCAATCTGCACGAGATCGGGCTTGACAGGGTCATTGCATACGGCCATACGTATGTTGCGATCTCGCTCTGAAATCCGCAGCTGATGAAGCCTAGATGGTCACCCCTTCATGAACTTGTTCCGGAGGTTCCACTCCGCCATGGTCATGCTATCAGCATCGACATGGCGTACTCTGCTACCTTGGCCAACATGCGCGGTATACTACCTGACGAGGACCACAAGAGGCTGCTGAACCTTTTCTCCCGAGCAGGATTGTCAATGGATCATCACCAGTTCGACGAAGAAATTCTCGACAAAGCTACAAAGGCGATTCTGAGGACTCGAGATGGTAAGCTCCGAGCTGCCGTACCAAGCCCGCTCGGAAAATGTGTGTTCTTAAACGACGTTTCGATGGACGAAATGTTCGCGGCTCTGAAGCATCACAAATCCATCATGAAGAACTATCCACGCAACGGTGAAGGTCTTGAAGCCTTCGTTGATGCCAGCGATACCGGGTACACGGTCAACAACAAGCCAATCGAAGCTGAAACCAACAGCATCTCAAATGGTCTCAAGAAACTCAACGTGTTGAACGATGATACCCACAAAAACGGACCACAAACGAACGGCCACAGCGACACCGATGGTAAGAACACCAATGGAGTGGCGACTGCTGTAAAGCATGCATCTGGACCGGAAGATGTGAACGCGTTGGGCAATGGGACCAACAAAGATACGCCAAATGGTTTGGTAGATGGTGTTGCTAACGGCCTAAACGGGCACCGCAATGGGGTCAAAGTCCAGGGATAGGCAATGAAAACCTCAGTGTGCATAGTGCGGAGAGAATATGGCTGATCGGTCCTCCAGCTCATCTTGTCCCGCCAGCCCAAAATATAGACCAAGCAGCCACGCAATATAGGTAGATCGGTTCAAACGCCGTCATTTCGACTGCCATCATCTTCTTTAACTTTCCCTTCTACTCTGACGCCCCACATTTGGCCTTGCATTCCCTCTAAGCCTCTTTGAATACCTTTCACTATCAGGCATGGTGTAGACGCTGGCGGTTCTGGCTTAACGCGTCCTTGCGACACTGGCTAGGATAATGCCACTCAGGATGTCGGACATCCGGTCAGGGACTACGCACAGTGATGGGTAAGGCCTTTACGCAGTGTACGACGGGGTCATGTGCGGCTGGTCACTAGAGCCACAAGGTCTTCTCCCTGATTATGTATCGGAGCCTTGCTGTGGTGTGGCCCATTTCCATATTCAGATTGAGGAGAAAAAGACCGTCTTCCTTCTGAGAGCAACACGAATACTCTAACCCCTGCCAGACGCTCGGTCAGAGCATGACACATGCAGCATCTATGCCGTATGACTCGAGGCGTGTTCGCAACAATTGCCACCGCATGTTCAAGTCATCGACTCGTAACCGAATTATGCGGCTTGCAGGTGCCAGGCGGTGGAGCCAGTCGTGATGTCAGAGAAACCGTCTTCGAGTAGTGGCCGAACAAGGTGCTCAGCCATGGTTAGAATGAAGGATTCTGGATCTGGCGTGGCATACGATGCACTACATCCACAGGAGATTCCCAGACGCGAGTGCTTGCAGAATAGGCGAGACCCGGAGGCTTCAGCCGTCTTCTCTGCCACAACCCACCATGGAGACGACCTACTTTACCTGCACATTGGGACAGGCTGTCGACCATCAGAGCAACAAGTCCTACAGTACCATCAACGAATTCATCGAGCACAAAGTTCGCTCTGCTCCGGATGTCTCCATTGTTGGTTTCTATGAGGTCGGGGTCGGTGAGAAGGCCTCACAGCATTGGAAACCCCATGTCTTGACATTCGGGAATGTCCACCGAGGCACTGTGGTCGTCGCGGACCGCTTGTCGAAAGTCCTCACCGCGGACAAGGGCCAGACGGTAGCCTTGCTGTGTCCAAGCTCGGCAGATTTTCTCTTCACATGGCTGGCACTCATCTGGCTGGGGCACCCAGCGCTGCTGATAGCGCCCCAATGCTCACCCTCTGCCGTCACACAACTTTGCAAAGCATGTGGCGTGAGGGATCTTCTTTACGATGAGGTATACAGAGATCTTGCAACGGGGGCTTCCAAGCTGGGAAGCGGCTCGTTGAACGCTCTCATTTTACCTTCCGCGAGCGAGAATATCTTCGAGGTGATCAAGGGCACGTCTGTCAGCATAAGCGCACCGCCCGCCACGGTACAGGAAACCGATATTGCATATCTGCATCACACATCTGGTACATCAACTGGCGTGCCGAAGCCGATCCCGCAATCGCACAGAGCAGCAGTTGGAGTGCTTCCAACGTTGAACGGGAGAAGCAAAGCTTGCTTCACGACAACACCCCTCTACCATGGCGGGGTCGCCGACCTGTTTCGCGCATGGTCAAGCGACGCTCTGATATGGCTCTTCCCCGGGAAAGAGCTGCCCATCACAGCCGGCAATGTCTGCAAATGTCTGGACGTTGCAGCGACGTTGGCAAACGATTCCTCTGTCGGTACCTCGGACGTCAGCTACTTCTCCTCCGTCCCCTACGTCCTACAAATGATCGCAGAAGACAAGCACGGCCTGAAGCATCTTCAGCGAATGGACATCGTTGGCGTCGGAGGCGCGGCGTTGCCCGCAGAAGTAGGCGACAAGCTGGTGACGAACGACGTGAACCTGATATCCCGCTTCGGTAGCGCGGAGTGCGGCTTCCTCATGTCGTCGCACCGAGAGTACGCAAAGGACAAGGAGTGGCAGTACCTCAGATGCTCTCCAGGAGGTGATCATCTTCTCTTTGAGCCCCAGGAAGACGGGCTCTCCGAGCTGGTAATCCAGCATGGCTGGCCTCACATGGCGAAGCGCAATCGAGACGACGGCTCCTACGCCACCGCCGACCTATTCGCTCGTCATCCGTCAATCCCGCACGCGTGGCGGTACCATTCCCGCGCGGATTCACAATTGACACTCATTACGGGCAAGAAATTCGACCCAGCACCGCTTGAGGATTCGATTCGAGCGTCGGCTTCTTCGGTGCTCGACGACGTCTTGATATTCGGAAACGGAAAACCATATCCGGGTGCTTTACTCTTCCCCTTGCGGGATGCCGCGTCCACGGGCATGGATATGAGTGACGAGGATCTCATCGACAAGATCGCACCGCTGGCCGAGAAACTGAATCAGGATAGTCAAAATCACGCACGGATACCTAGGAACATGCTAATTGCAATGCCTCGTCTCGAAAACGGGCTCGAGAAGAGCAGCAAAGGCACCATCTTGCGGCGCAAGGCTGAAGAACGATTCAGCGAGGCAATCAATGCTGCCTATGAAACCGTGTTACCCGAGGGAGCCTCTTTCAGCACTGATATCCCTAATGCCGACGTCTCGACAATAATTCGTGACATCGTCATGAGAGTTGCAGGCGAAAATAGGAATCGTGAAGCCGAAGCTGCCGAGTTGGCGGACGAAACAGATCTGTTCAGCTATGGAATCGACTCCGTTGCAGCCATACGCATTCGCCATGCGCTGTTGGGCCTGATTCCAAGAACCGCGACTTTGCCGTTGACGATCGTCCAAGACGCTGGGACTGTATCCCGGCTGGCTGATCTTGTCCTCCGTCTTCGATCTGGCGGAGAAGCCAGCATCAGCACCAAAGAGCAAGACGAACGGGAACAAATCAGCATAATGCTCGATCTAGCGAGAGAGTACAGCTCGTTCAACGATCCTCATCCCTGGGCCATTTCTTCAACATCCCCCTTTCGAGGAGTATCTCGACAAGATCCCATCGGCACGCGAGTCCTGCTCACAGGACCGACGGGGTCGCTTGGGGCTCACATCCTCTGGCACCTGGTTTCCAACGCATGCATATCCCAAATCCACGTCCTCGTCCGCGGCGCCACGCCGTTGGCACGGCGCGAGCGTGTCCTGAAAGCCCTCTCCTCCCGCCGTCTCTCTATCCCAGAGGACTTCGACGCCAAAGTCACAATCCACAACTGTAAACTCTCGGATCCTCGTCTCGGCCTCGCGAACGAAGAATATACAGCCCTGGCGGCGTCTGTCGACGTGATCGTCCATCTTGCATGGAGTGTCAACTTCCTCCAGCCCCTCCGCTCATTCGCACCAACGCACCTAGCCGGGCTGAGGAATCTCATCAATTTCGCTCTATCCTCACCACCACCAACGCCGCCATCACCCAGTCCTTCGGACCAAGCACACATCCCGCCGAGGCTGATCTTCTGCTCCAGTGTCGCAGCCGTATCGAACTACACACCACGACCTCCAGGGAAGAAACTTGTGCCAGAACGTGTTCTCACCGGTAACGGCGACGACGACGCCACCACCGTGGCCGGTCCGACAGGCTACGCCCGCTCCAAGTGGGTGGCCGAGCGGATGTGCTGGCACGCGCACGCCACGACGCGCTTGCGAGGCCGCATTTCCGTGGCGCGAGTCGGCCAACTCAGCGGCGCGAGGGACTCCGGCGTCTGGTCTGCCACCGAAGCATATCCGCTCATGCTGGCCAGTGCGGCCGCGACGGGCGTGCTCCCTGATCTGGACGGCGCGAGACACGCGCAGGGCGTACGGGAAGGAGAAGTGCTCGCGTGGTTGCCCGTCGACATCGCCGCCAGGGCGTTTGTCGATGATATCCTTGATGGAGACCAGGTTGACGATGCCGTCCAGGACCGCCACCCCGAAACCATGAACAATAGCGACGACTCCACCACTCCTAGAAACCACGCTGAAACGGTCGAGATCTCTGGATCCCCCGAAAAAACCGACCGCAGGCGCACCCTCGACATGACCTCGCCAACGACAACGCCAATGCCGGTGCACCACGTCCTCAATCCCTCCCGTGCAATCAGCTGGAATCACCTCCTAACCTGGCTATTCCGGCACGAGACGTTCCACACCGTCAGCGTCGACGTGTGGCTCTCTCGCCTCGAAACCCTCAACGATAGTCCCGAGGAGTGGAAGCGCAACCATCCCAGCCTGAAAATCCTGCCCTTCTGGAAGGGAGCGTATGCTTCGTCGGGCACGGCGGCCGCGTCATCATTCGCGCGAGATGTACAAAACGAGGCAGACAATAATCATAATAATGATAATAATAAGCCACCACGCGATCGTCGTGAGGGAGGTGCAGGGACTACTACGGACGGCCTGGTGCCACCCACGCAGGAGACGGCGACGACGACGACGGGGTATGAAATGGCGGGCACGTACGCACGGATGCCGTCCCTGCGTGATTGGGAGGGTGTGGTCACCGAGGAATATGTCCTCAAACTGTGGACATGGGTCAAGGAGAGCGTCTGAAACTCCAATGTGCGGCTACGAGCCAAGAGTCGGCGGAGTCAACGTGGTCGAGCATCGATACCAATGTCTATGTATACACCATTTAGCTTGATTGCAATGGCAAGGAAACAAGGGTAGAAGCCATTGAAGCTCAAAAGACCCGCCGTCGACAGGTTAATGCAGTCGTCCTTACAGTAGTTTCTCATGATGCCATAATGCATAGTCTCGTCTCTAGGTGTGTTGGTTATGGTTTCATGATGTACAAGCGGCAGGCAATGTGACTTGCATACCTGACAGCCGGATTCTCGCAAGGAGCACCCTCCCTGCCTTGTCCTCAATAACCTAATCGTATCCGACACTTGGAGCCTGTCCACCTCAAGCGGCCACCCCCACTGCGATTTCATTTCCTCGACGGCAGTGGGCTAATATGGTCAGACAGACTATCGATATGAACATGAAAGCGCTTGTCCGCTCGAAAAGCCTCTCTGCATCCGTTGGACCCGTCCACTACCGGTGATACGTCCGGCTGGAATCGCTTGGAGACTGCCCGCCAGACTGTGTGGCGAACCGTGAGCTGGCACGATGCGTGAAGACTGTTCGGATTCTTGCTGAAGGTGGCAACAATTGTAAGAATATGTCGATGGACATGTCGGTGTTCGCGTTTGCCGGATCTACCGAATGAACATCCCTTCCGCTCGTCCCCAGAAGTTGCGTGCCTTGTTGACGTGATCCAGTCCGAGCATGTCGTCGCCATCCTGAATGAGATCAGAGAGAACATCGTCGTCTTCTACGTATCTCGGCTTGCCATAGGGTGCTCTTGATATCAAAGCGAACTTGATCTGTTGGAGAAGTTTGCCCTTGATGCCGGTCCGCTTGCTGATTCGTTCCTTTGTTTCTTTTAGCGGCTCGCCGGGCTTCAGCAGAAACTTAAACGGAACACCATGGGGTTTGTTGGCTTCCTTGTCGAAATGGTAACAGTAAATGAACCGATCGTCCTCCGAGGCGTTCAATTCTTCATCGGGAATTTTCTCGGCATATAACGTGGTAAACTCATTGACGCCGACGACGTTGAAATCCTCCATCAATTCCTTGTGAACCTTGCCGCCGTGGACTTCCAGCACGCGCACATTCCCGGCTGTCTGCTCGTCCAGACTCAGCTTCTTGGCAATGCCGGCGATCAAGTCACTGATGAGGCCGTTCTTGGCAACGAGTATTTCCAGGGGTTCCTGCGTCGGTTAGTAGTGGTACTTGAAGTGAGAGAGCCCAAACACTTGCCTCTTTGCTGATGCCGTCACTGAGCCAGATCACTTTCATGATCTTCTTTGTCTCATAATCGGCAAGACTTGTTTCAAGGACCTCAAAATACAGTGCGTCGCCGCGATGAGTGGCATAGCCACCGTAGGAGCTAAACTGAGACTGTAGGATCTGCTGCAGGTTATAATTCATTCCACGTTTGAGCCACATCTTTATCTTATTGTTAGTAGCACTGATGGTGGCAAATCGTATGTGGGTCGGATCGACTTTGAGATATTCCCCGACCTTCTGAGAGAATTGATCGTAAGTCATCTTCTTGCTGAGTGGCAACACAAAGGATTCTCCTTCGGTGCCAGGTTTTGGATAGAAGCTGACGGGTATCCTGTTGAGCAGGTAGTCGTAGTACTGTCGGGCATCGGTGTATGTGATCGTGGACGGATCAAGGTCAGGAATGTTTTGTTGAAAACAGATGATGTCGCCATCTTGGATCTCCGATTGCTGAAAGGTCTGCTTGGGCTTCATAGCCTCGATCATTGAGAATTTGATCTCTTCAAACAAGAGGATTGGCGTATTTGGATCCCAATGCATCAATTTGTGAATCTGAGGCGCAATCTCTTGTACCTTGTCGAGTTTCCTGACATAGACATGACCAATGCCAGACAGCGACTGGGCCTTGACGTCGAAATACTTGAGGAACACCAGGATAGGCACATTGCCACCCACAGCTGGTGTAGAATCCGGCCATGAAACTTTGCCGTCGTCACCTTTCGTTCCATTTTCAGCCCACAGATAGAACGGCCGGCCCCTTGAGCCGTACTTGTTCATGGCTTCCTCCATAGTAATGTCGACTTCGCGGATCGGTTGATCGGGACGATTTGTCTTGTTCTGTCGGCCAACCATGACCCAAAATCTGACTTGATCCGGACCTAGGCCGAGCTCCGTAGCAATGGTGTTGGCAAACTCACCCACCTTGGTGGTTCGCAATAGTCGATGGACTCGGGCGCTCGCTGGGTCCGATTGTTCCAGGTCGTAGCTCGTCAAGTCGAAACCATGGTGGGCTTGGAACGTTCGTTCTGTAATCAGCCCAATATTCATGTAGAGATGGGCTTCTTCTCGCTCTTTCTTTTTCCGCGCGAGCTCCGCCTGCTCCTCGGAGATTCTTGCTTCAATGTGAGAAGGAATGTCGGATTCGGCGACTTCGAGGAGCACCTGGTCCAGCCTGCTCTTCCGGATGTAGACCAGCATGTAGGCGTTCATAGAACGTTTGGTGGAGTAACCGCGCATGTACGGCTGCCGTTGGCCGAGCCCGCCATTTGCAACATTGGCATACTCTCCACCAAAGTTTTCTTCCAGCACTTCCTTCATGGTTGACCGCGTCACGCGGTCATCGTCAAACTTGTAAAAGAACCCGTCCTTGGCGGGCTTCAAGAAAGCGTAGTAATGACCGGCATTGAAATCGCCGCTATGCACTAGCACACCATGTAACTGGTAATCCCACGGCTCGGTCGATGCAGCTCTGGCTTCGTCAGACAGGTAAAGCGATGCATCAAATTCTTCAGGAAAATCGTGTCGGTCGTTCACCTTCATCATGGCGTCTCGGTTAATGTCGTACTCGAATCGCTTCAGCTGTAGGTGTAACACAGGTGGGAACGACTCGAAAATCACACCTTTGCGGGCATCCTGAAGGCCGTATGGCTGACCGGCGTCGTACTTGTTCTCGCCCTCCAATGTCTCAACCTGGATGTAATCCATGAAACTCTCGTGAAGGTTCTTGTTTCCTCGAACGTTCAGCTGGATATCCCAGAATTCCTCTATTCTCGAGGACTCAAAGTCGACATTTATGCAAGAGATGTATGTTTTGGTCTTACCGACAAACAACTCTGGCAATGTCCTCTCTGCTGGTGTGCCCTTCATCTTCTTCTCCAGGACCTCCATCAGTATCCGGGACAACTCCTGAACATCCTGCTGCTCGAAGATCTGGCGAGTGTCCCACCCAAACGACGCTGTTAGCTCGTTAGTCGAGACCGCAAATTTGTCCTTCTGCAACCTGTAGAATAACCGTTGTAGAGTCCAGGCGCTATTACTCCGGGTGGCTTCCTGCTCAGTCGGGATCTGGTAGACGGCTTTGCGAAATAAATTGGTGAAGTATAGGGACTGAAGCAGCGAATTCAGGTAACAAGTTGCGCCTTGGTTCTTCAGGCCGACCATGCCCGTCTCTTTCTTCGAGTCATACCCTTCGAAGTTGTGCCATAATACGCCGGTAGGATCTTTGATGATGCGAACGTAAGCGGTCAGTTTTGCTTCATCGTTCTCGACCAGAAGCCTCGACCCTTCCTCCCAAGGTTGATGGAAGGCCTTCCTCAGTTCGACGAATCTCGTGAATCCCCAGTCGCCCTCTTTCGCATTGAATCGATGAGTGGCCGTATGCGTTCGGTAAAGTGTGGGATCGTTCGGGTTCCACAGGACGAGAGCGAACTGCACACAGGCATACCAGTCCGGCGGCGGATCATTCTCGAAGCCATGTTCCAGGTAAAAGGACGCACAATCAACCTGGTTGCCGTAGGGGAAGAACAGTACCCTCCAGGGATGCCCGCCGCATTCAAACACAGGCCCGTGCTCTCTTCTTGACAGCGTCCGCCATTTTTCTATATGCCAAGTGTGATATGTCTCTGCTTCGGTCTCGGTATCGGGGAGGTCAACGAGGACATGGCGTTTCATCGCCTCGACTGTAGGTGAGGTTAGATTGGGACTCGGGTTAAGAGGAGGGGGTCGATGGGGGATTGAGCACGTACAATCATCGGCCCGGGGCAGGGCTTCCGTGTGCTCGTCTGAGCCATCGTCGGGAGATATGTTGACCACTTCGTTCTCTTGGTGATTGTACTGATCGTAACCGTCAATGAGCATGTCTGGGCCTGCCAACTGCAACTCGTCCAAGCAGGCGGATAAGTCAGTGTCCATGCTTGCGGATAGGTAAGGTTGATCAAAAAGGCCCGGAACAAGAGCAATGGGTCAAACGTACGTTGTCCATACTCATGTGAAGTAGATTTGAGCGGAGAGGAAAGCGAGGATGAGCCGCGTAGCTCTTTCCTCAGCTTTCCGCGCGCCGTGAATTGTTGAAAAACTGAGGTCGAAGTAATGCAGGCGACTCCGTCAGCAAGGACGCTTCGGGCTTGAGAACTGAGTCGAATCTAGATTGTAGATACGAGCAGTGTCGATGGAGCGACTGTTTGCCAAGGGATTCATCAAAGGTAGCTATGTCGACTGAAGGGCCAAATCTAGATTTGAAGGTCTAATACTGATTATTCCTGGGTACTCCGTTGAATATGCAGGCTACTAGAATTGAGGTCAAGGTGTCGCCGCCGCATGGAATTTGAATGACGAATGACAAACGAGAAATGCCCGCTTTCAGGTGATGGCTAAGGCCCATTCATGACCGCCGAATAAGCAGCTCGTCACCTGAACCGCACCCGCATTTGTGCGATTTAGAGAAGGCCTGGTGAATTAGGGCCAATCCTGCCCGCATTTTCGTCACTGCTCCTCCGCTAGGGTGCCAATGCTTGTTGGCGCACCGCGACCGTCTGCTGGAGCTCAATGACAGCAGCTTCAACATCACCTGTCCGCGCACTTTACCTACACATGAGCTTACTCAGACATTAGCGACGAGATGATCATCGACCGTTGCCATGCATCGTTCGCTCTGTTGTTTGTGATGAGATGCAGCGGTTCCGTTGCTTTTCAAGGCCCCGCGCCTCGGGCCTGAACAGACTCGGCGGGTTGAACACCCAGTCGTACAGGTGGACGTCCTCTCAGGCTGAGAGGCAACCTCCGCCATGGCGGCCAGCTTCTACCCTTGACGAGTATGCCTCTGCGCTCCGAGAACTTCCAATCGTGTCACTAACATGTCCGCTAGTTGGGTCGACCGCCCGATTCGTCCCATCAGCCTGCGCCAGCTGTTCTTCTTCGGCCGGACCTTGACTGAAAGTCGCTTGCTGAGCTCTGCCAACTATGTGCGGATGGAATTGCCCACCAGGTTTGTTTGGCTTCGAAGGAGTGGGAGTTCGCTCACCTAGTTACAGGCTTGCCCATCGACTGCGAGACATGCAGCGTTTGCCCTATGTCGTGGTGACGAACCCGCATCTTTCCCTCGTGTACGAGCTCTATTACAAGTCGTTCGAGAGTTTTCGGCGTGTCCCCGTCATCCGGACTGTCAAAGAGAATGACGAATTTTGCAAAGTCATCAGCGACAATTTGAAAGAGCATCTGGCGGTCATCCCCAATTTGGTCATGGGGGTGCTCGAGTGTCAAGAGTTGGTCTCCCCTGATAACATGGACCAGTTTGTTCAGGCCATGCTGCGAGCTCGCATTTCGAGACGAGTCATTGCCGAGCAACATCTTGCTTTGACAGAGACCTTTAATTCACCATGGCATGTGCCTCAACCCAGTTCTGAGAATGAATTTGTCGGCGAGGTTCTCCTCCGGTGCAATGCAAAGGAGGTCATTGAGCGAGTTGGCCATTTCACCCAACAAATTTGCAAATCAACCAGTGGCGCTGACCCACCAGTGCCTGAGATTCGGATTCAAGGCCATACCAGCGCTACCTTTCCCTACGTGCTGAGCCATCTGGAGTACGTGGTCGGAGAGCTCTTGCGGAACTCGGTGCAAGCAGTTATGGAGAGATACAAAGACACTCGAGAAACTCCTCCGCCCATCGATGTGTTGATCTGCGAGGCCCCGCAAAACGTGGTCATCCGAATCTCTGACCAAGGTGGGGGCATACCTCGAGACATCACTCCCTTCTTGTGGTCTTTTAACAAAGGACCAAGAAGTGCCGCACGGTTGCAAAACTTCAAGGACGTACCCACCCTTGCAGCCACAATGCAGGAAGTCCGAGTCTCTGCGACGGATAAGCCTAGTGGGAAAGTGAGGGATTCCTCGCTCACTACGCTGGCTACAAGGCCCCCAAATCTGAGACTTGGCATGGGTTTACCTATGAGCAGAGTATATGCTGAGTACTGGGCTGGTGGGCTGGAACTGCACAGTCTGGAAGGCTATGGTGTGGATGCGTTCCTGCAAATCTCTAAGTTGGGCAACCAAAACGAGCAGCTTACTTCCCGCGCAAGTATTGACGCGGTCTGATAGCGGTAAAGATGCCAACAGGGATTGCTCATCTCATCAGACAGCCGGGTTCTGTGTCCACTTCTCCCTTTCACGGGGAGTGCAGCGACAAGTGCGTTCCCAAAAGCCCTAGAATCCCATTCAAGAGGAAGCGACGATACTCAAAATCGAAGAGCGGATACAGTACTGAACGCCCCAGGAGAACATGCCACTCGAGAGTGGATCCACGGAAAGAGGTAGCATCTAAAGCGTGGCAGGGTACAAATACGAGGCTCAGAGCACGACCAGATGAAGGCCAGATTGTTGCAAACGATGGCCGGTCGCAAGAGCAACTTGTACGTCGTCTGTCCACAAGACGAGAGTTTTCCAGTTTTATAGCCAGGTCTCTGCTCAGAGTCACAGCAAGACCACAAAAGACCCGAACGAGGCAGTACCTAGGAGTGAATGGCACGAGTTGATTCGGCCTGAAGAACAACAAGATCAGCCATAGAACGTAGCATGATGAAACAAGCAGAGAGTGGGGTGCGTCCTTGAATCAGACTTTGCCTATTAACCGCATGCTCTGCCGGCGAACTGCGAGAAGATGTATTCCCACTGCGGCTGAGCTTTTCGGCTTACCAGAGTTGTTTGGTTCGTCACAAAGGCTTGCAAAAGCAGACAAATCAACAATATGACGCACAGTTTAACCTCTGTCCAACTTATCGCTATTCCAGGTGCCTTGATCTTCCGCTCAAATTGTCCGCTATTCCAGGTCATCACCGCATCATGGCAGCCGCAGGGGCCCTCGTGATGATGGTTTTAAGATGCGGTATTGTTTTTGACAATTACTCTCGACACACTTATCGGAAACCATCAGCTTCATGGCGTCAAGTACGTAGCTGATGTTGATTTGAATTAAGTGTCTTGAGAGGAGAAAAGAAAGAAAGCAAATGGGTCGCTGAAGAAAAGTTCTAATGAAGTTGAGCTGGAACGCTAACGCTGAAGCGGTTAGTGGCAGCTCTGGGGAAATAGCGCAAACGGCTCACCGATTGGCGGGCTTGAAGGCATGCAAGAAGGTCAAGAAGTCCAACCAGAGTGACTTGGTATTTGCTGCTCCTTGCTGCTGCAACTCAAATTCACGAGACACAGACTTGGACTCTTACACAAGCTTCTAACACGCTGATTTACTCTTTGCATACAGAGCATAGTCTTTTCACGAATTGGCAGCCGTTTCATTGCGCCACATTTTCCGTCATCGCGCCGCTACTGGCGCAGGCCCGATCTTCTCTCCGTCCCAGAATCTCATTTCCATTGTCACCGCTCCCGCAGTGACCCTCTTGTCCAGCCGCCGTCCAGCGACAACTGGACGAGGTGACATTGCGCTGCTGGGTCTCCCACTGCTGTCTCTGATCTGCTCATGGAAAACGCAAATCTGTGGACCAGACGATCCAAGTGAGTCTGACCATAATCTACCTTTAGCACCAGAATACTCTAACTGTGTCTGAAGCACTGGCAAGTTGTCACTGTCTATGAGAGATCAGGACGGCAAGGATGGTGGCAAGATAGATTCTCCGCGGTCCTACTCCAGTCGACGCTTCGGAGACACTTCTTCCCACGGCAAGACGAACCCTTTCAACGCACTTTCTCCTGCCGCGACGAAATCCCCTTCAGCAGGTGCCTCCTCGGCTTTCGGTCTGGGCAGTGGCGCATTTGCTTCCTTTGGTTCGGCAAAGACGCCCAAGACTCCTGGGGCCGGCTCTGCCTTTGATTTTTCATCGCGCGAGAAGGTCGAAAGAAAAGAGAAGGATTCAGACATCCCAGCGGAGACGTCAGAAGCAGAGCCCTCACAAGATTCTTCTTCACCGAGCAAGACTTCCTCAGAACATCCACTTCGGAGTACATGGAACCTCTTCTACCGACCTCCGGCCAACAAGTTCTCCGACTACGAGAAATCGACGCAGAGGTTAGCGTCAATTAGCTCGGTGGAGAGCTTCTGGACAATTTACTCTCATCTCAAACGCCCATCTCTGCTACCCACTGTCTCGGATTACCACATCTTCAAAGACGGCATCCGTCCGGTGTGGGAAGATGAGGCCAACAAGAAGGGCGGGAAGTGGATCGTAAGGCTCAAAAAGGGTGTGGCCGACCGCTACTGGGAGGACCTACTCCTAGCGATCATTGGCGACCAGTTTATGGAGGCTGGAGAGGAAGTTTGCGGGGCCGTACTCAGCGTCAGAAGTGGCGAAGATGTTCTGAGTGTGTGGACCAAGAACGATGGTGGTCGGAACATCAAGATCAGGTACAGAAAGACGCTCACTCAATCCTAAAATGAAGAGGACACTGATCATTCCGCAGAGAGACTATCAAACGAGTACTCGCCTTCCCTCCCGACACCAACATCGTGTGGAAGAGCCACGACGATAGCATCGCGCAACGGTCAGCGCTGGACGAGGCCAGACAGCAGAAGGTCAGTGGCACCCCAGGCCATCCTGGTGTCCAGCGACGCTCAACTTTACGTGACGATCCGGAGAGGAGTAAAGAAAAGGGGACATAATGATCTCCGTTGAAAATGGGAGGTGCCAATCCCTCTGTAGCACTAGCATTGATTTGCATGTATGTGATTCCTGGATAGGATTCTTCCCATAGTGGAATCTTGATCAAAGCCTGCTTCACTGAGCAAGCGGTATTCAAATTCACCTTTTGAGTTTCACCTCGTTACATCAATCTCATTTGTAGCACGTACGTGTCGGTCGCATATGTCGCCCATCACGACTGCGGGGAAATTCTTCGCATCTTCCCAACTCGCGCTCTGCCCGCAACCAGATATCCAACATCTTCCACCCCACGGACAAACGTGTGCATTCCTGTAAAGCATGTTGGCGAATCTAACAAATGAGTGTCCCTTGGTTTGACAAACTACACGACTCCCTTCACAACATCGCGCGAAACGGCCTTAAATCCTACCTCGTATCGAATTCACTTGAAGGCGGCCCAGAAGACAAATCCGTTGCCGCACCCAACGCTGTGCCTTCGGTGTCCTTCACTCGCTCAAATGCCTTTCCAGAAAACCCATATCGGGCCCAGATGCCCTCGAACTCTCACCCCTACCTCACCAAGACACTACCAAGTTTCCTCAACGATCTAGGCAACTCCGCACCCAAGCTGAAACGCCGTATCCAAATTGATGTGAGCAGGGTCTGGGATGCGCTGTGGAACAGACTGACGGGAATGCTTTTATGCAGCTCGAAAGTGATGACGAGACCGTACGCGGAGAACAAAGACCAAAATCTAGCGGACGGGGAACAGGCCAACCTCATGAGTGCGTTCTTGTTCATTGAGGATAAAGACCTCTTCGGCTAAGCCATAGGTACTAGGGCAAGTGGCACACCGACAAGGCCCACTCCACAAAGCAATCCAAGAGACGGACCAAGGCTTGATGGCAGGTTGATGTACGTCTCGTGAATGTGACACAGTACAAGCTGGCTTACAATGTGTCTAGCAGGAGGGATCCTTACGAAGACGCAGCAACCATGCATAAGAGGACGCCCTTCAAAGTATGTCTGCCTCCGCGGTCATCGCCTCACTACTGACATGCCTGCAGGCCCCCTCCGTTTTGAGACCAGTCGATACGCTGGCTGCTTTGCCTGGAACAAGATCGGAATACATTCAAGGAAAGACCAATGGTCGACGCGTCCCCATCTATCCTCCCAGCACTTTGCCCGCCAAGAATAAGGCCCATTCGAATGATCATATCACGCCTAACAAGAAAATCAAGACCGTTGACCTTCGAGAAGCCGGAGACTCATCCGCGTCCGCCATCAGTCTTGATGACAGCCAGATTCCCAATGATTCCGAGGATGAACTCGCGCTCAGTGGTTCCAAACCCCCAAGCCAGATTCGAAAACGCCAAGGGCAAGAACTTCTAACTTCCCGAGAATCACGGCGATCACCTGCCTCGATACTCAGGAGTCGAAATAATGTGCACCCGGACCAGATTCAGCGTCGGGAGCGTGACCATTCACCCATGGACGAGGGCGATTTCACTAAAGATGCTGCACGACAAAGGAGGGCTGTTAAAGATAAACTGCTGGGGAGCCCACCTGCTGGTTCAAAGCCGTCAGCGGCACAACGCACATCACCATATTTTCGCCAGAGTCCGCGTGCTGTTCTAGAAGGAAGCCATGCCTTAAAACAGAATCGGCAGAAGGACCCCACCCCGGAGAGTCCTGATGCCATTCAGGGCGGCGAAACTCACCGCGAAAGAATCGCGCCGCCAGTGGCCGGCAAAGCCAATGAGCCGCGATCGAGAAGCAGCCGCCGTGGCTCGAGTATCGGACACGGCTTAAGCTCGACCACAGGCAAACCATCAGATTCGGGTCAAAAGAAGACCACCGGCGAAAAGAATTCGTTCAAGCTTGATGGCCTTCTCTACCATGACTTCGCCGAGGCATCGATCTACACGATTAGAGTTGACGCTTCAACGAAAGAAATATCGCTGCATACAGATAGTCCCATCTTTCCTGATGAGCCTCTCACCTATCCTCGTGCAATCCGCCAAATAGCGGGAATTCTTTACGGAGCTGACGGTTCTCCACTCATTCGGTTGCAATTCAGTGGTGTAGGGCCAGACTATATGTTTCTCAGATTCGACTCCGACAAATCTGCGTATGACTTCATCATGCTTCTCGCAAACACGGTGCCCGGATTGAAAATGACTGGTAAACAAGCGTAGGTGGCTCTTGTAAAACACGCTGCATCTTGCTAACAGGACACAGGGACTGGATGGAAGGTGCCTTCAACAAATTCAAGGCTGCGCGAAACAGCAGCCACGAAAGAACTCAAATAGAGATTATTCGAGCGGAAGACAAGACGCCCGCTAGAATGCAGCGTTTGCCATTAGGACAGCCGAACACGGGAGAGAAGCGTGCCCGTCTTATCGACAAGCTCGATGCTCCTCCTGCCTCAAGACAGCATACTGTCATCTCAGGAGCAGATCGCAAAGCAGCATATGAGGATCCAGAAGTGGCCCAGAAAAAGGACAGACGCCGTGCTCCACAAGACTCCACGTCACCTGAATCCACTCACCCGAACGTCTTGACACGGAGGGTGACACGATCGCAAGACGAATCGATGCGTAGCCAGGGACGATCACAAAGCGAGACGCGAAGTCGAGCTCTGGGCCCACCATGGAACAAAGACCTCGTTTATCCGCAGCCGGGTCGCAGAGCTGCAATAGTGCACTTTGATGACCTGGCAAGGCTCGACCATGATGGGTTTTTGAATGACAACCTGATTCTGTTCTTCATGCGATACCTCGAAACACACATGGAGAGAAATAACCCAGAAGTTTACAAGCGAATGCATTTCTTCAATACCTACTTCTACGAAGCCCTCACGAAAACTCCCAACGCAAAGAAGACCCTCAACTACGAAGCTGTCAGTCGATGGACGAAAAATATCAATCTCTTCAGTCGAGATTTCGTGGTCGTCCCCGTCAACGAGAACCTGCATTGGTACGTTGCTATCATTTGCAACCTTCCCTATTTTCTAGGTGACAAAGGCGACAGCGGGTGGCCAGGCAGCACAAGTGGAGTCGAGCGCCTTGATGAAGGGGTGGAAGAGGATGGCGAAGAGGAAGCCGATGCACAGACAGCAGCGACACAAAATTCGTTGGCCGACCTTTCCATTAGTGACGACGAAAAAGATGGTCATATTCCGGCCAAGAGGAAGGGACCCGGACGTCGCAAAGCAGCCCGAAGATCACTTCAGAAATACCCCATCAACAAGCCAGTTATCATCACACTCGACTCACTCGGCCATAGTCGCTCGGCGACATGTTCACACCTCAGAAATTATGTGGCCTTAGAGGCCAAGGACAAGCGGAATCTTGATATCAACCCTGCTGAACTCCGAGGTATGACTGCAAAGGAGATCCCTACTCAAGGCAACTTCAGCGATTGTGGGCTTTTCGTCTGCGTCTATCTCGAGCAATTCGTTGCAGATCCTTACAACTTCGTCCGACGAATACTGCAGCGCGATGAGAGCGAGCAGCAGTGGCCACGAAAAATCCACAGCGAGGATTTGAGGTCGAGGCTGCGTGAGTTGATCTTGGAAATGCATCGGAGGCAGGAGAAGGAATCAACCACGCAGGACGAGGCGATCATTGGGAATATCTTGATCGAAAAGGGAAAACCATCCCCCACGCCGCCACCGTTCCACGAGAAGCCGCCGACAAAGCAAGATATTGAAGAGGCTCAAGAGAGGTTTGAAGGGCTTGTGGGTGCTCAAGTCGAGCCGTCCGACTCTCCTCGTGAAGATTCCACCGTGCCGCGCAATCCTCTGGCGGCCGCTCAAGACACTGTTGACGCTATTCATGCGGTTCCGGGCTCTCAAGAGGGCTATGGTGAGAATGATGAAGAAGATGTCATCATCGACGACGAGCTACTTCAGGTCCAGACAGAACAACCCTCGAAATCGCCGCTTTTTTCTGAACCTCGAACGAAACAGAGCTCTTCTTCCGCGTCCGCTGCACAAGCCGGGGCATCTTCTTCACCTAAACGTGCACGCCCTGCGCAGAAAGGCCGTCCTCATTCAAACCCAGCCGAGCTGGCCGAGCATTTGCGCGAGGGAAGAGCTGAACACGCATCGAACAGACAACATCGGGTGACGTTAAAAGAAAAGAGTCCAGAGAAGAGCCGTGCATCTAGGTCGCCAAGCAGCTTCACGGATGAGCTCCTCTCTGGAGAGAGATCTTGGTTACCTGGTATCAAGTTGCTTGCTGCACAAAGCTCAGCCACGCCGGAGCCAACCACGACCGGGGACGAGAAGACAAGACGCGCGACAGGGGAGAACATGGGCTCAAGCCCTAGCCCGAGCTCAGAACCAGAGATCGTTGGGGAACGGAAAGTCTTGCCAGCCAGACAAACCCCGGGACTGAAGAAACGCAAGCGGGCTTCAGGGAAACTGGAGGCTCCCGAGACTGCTCAAGATCTGCCTCAAGGTGAATCCAGTGGACTCTACGACGAGGCTGAGGCAGAAGTCCCCCAGTCCCCGGAGGCAGAGCCTGAACATGGAAGAAGTTCGTGGGCAAACTCGAGGCCATCGAAGAAGTCCAAGTGCTGGCGCTGATGAGTGAGGAATAGTCTTTGCATGCTTGTCGGACTCGGTCGGAGGGATATGCGCTTGAATCAGACAGCTTCTGAAATCTACCTTGTTGCCGAGTCATCAGCTTGTCGTCCATTAACGCGCTCCCTGTGCACTGTTCCTGGCACATTCCCACAGCAGGCTTGCGATGTCGTGTATACCGTAGAGAGATGTATTCCGCACACACAGTAATTTCCGTTCGTAGTACTCTGTACTCCGTACCTCGTACTCGTCTTCGTGCTCCACCGTGCTCCAATGTACCTCGCACTAGCTCCGAGGCATGTCGTCATCGGCTCCAACCCTGGTGGGGCACTCATGGGTGACCAGCACCTCGCTTAACGACCGCGTTGGGGCTCAAGGGAAGCAAAAGCCGGAAGGTGCCTGGATTGATCCTCGTTTAGGGCCTGTCGATGCCTAGCAGCCTGGAACTTGTCCTCTTTCCAGCTTGGCTAATGCTTGATGGAGCAAGCTCCGTCGATCACCCGTGAATGAGCCTCTTCTCAAAACCTGGTTCTTCAGGTATGATGCCATTGTACACACTGGCCGTCTTCTGTTTTATAAGCTGGACTGCAAAATGAGCATACAGGTATGTCTCGGTGTCCTGGACCACCTCTCGCCTCTGCACACAAGCATGGAACTGACCCGTCTGCTCCTATCAGCCACACTCCTGCCCTCGCTGGCCTGCGGGCTCTCTTCACAGCTGTACGACACCTACAGCTTCAATCCACTCCAACATCTAGCAGGAATCGCCCCTTATTTCGAGCCGAACGATCCTCCTCGAGACCCCAATCCTCCAGATGGCTGCACTGTCACGAAAGCTGCATACTTAGTACGACATGCTGCAATCAATGCGTGAGTTTCGCCTTCGCTCGAGGACAACGCTCGTCTTACTCACGCCGTGCAGGAATGACTTCGACTATGAGACGTATATCGAGCCTTTCCTCTCGAAGCTGGAGAACCATACCAACATTGACTGGGGAGATCTGCCCTCTCTGGCCTTCCTTCAAACCTGGATACCTCCATCGTTCGCTGAGCAGGAGCGTCTGACGAGAGTCGGCAAGCTCGAAGCAGCTCAGCTCGGCGTCGAGGTTTCGTTCCGATATCCCAACTTCAGGGCTCCACGGAAAGTATGGGCGTCCACCGCCGAACGCACGGTTGTGTCAGCCGAGTCATTCATCCGTGGCTACGAGGCCTCTGACAACAACATCACGCTGGTCGAGATCTACGAAAGCGAAGAAGGCGGCGCCAACACCCTTACGCCCTACGACAGTTGTCCGGCGTATTCGTCCTCGGCCGGCAGCGAACAGTCTCAACAGTATCTGTCCAGGTGGTCAAGACCGTACGTGACTCGTCTGAACCATGTCTTCTCGAGCTTCAACTTCACGGCGTACGACATTGTGGGCATGATGGAGCTGTGCGGCTACGAAACCGTCATCCGAGGTTCATCACCCTTTTGCTCTCTCGACCTCTTCCCACCGGACGCGTGGTTGAGCTTCGAATACACAAACGACATTATGTACTTCTACAACACTGGCTACGGCCAGCCAGTGTCCGGCTCCATTGCCCTTCCATGGGTGAATGCCACAATGGGTCTTCTCCAGTCCGACGACGATGGCCCCTCCTCGCAAGATATCTACGTCAGCTTCACGCATCGAGAGTTCCCTCCCACAGTGCTCGTGGCGATGGGTCTCTTCAACAACAGCGACTTCATCGGCGGCAATCCAAACGCCAGCATGCCTCTGGATCGGATCAACTACAATCGCGCTTGGGTCTCATCCTACATTCTGCCATTCCTCACGAACATTGCGATCGAGCGGATGAATTGCTCTGCCCGGTCGAACACGTATGGAGACCTGATAGGCGGCGACTCGACCTATTACCGCGTCCTGGTCAACGACGCTCCACAGACACTACCGGGCTGCTCCGACGGACCGGATGAGAGCTGCAGCTCAAGTGGCCTGACAGACTGGTTGGTCGAGCGTGCCGCCGTGTTTGCAGGATACTCTGCCGCGTGCAATACCAGCTCCGAGTACAAAAACTCCACCGATCAAGTGACGTTCTACCAGAACAGCGACAATGGGAGCTTTGTTGGGAAATGAGCAGGGCATTACGAGGTGATCTGTTTTAGCATGTAGCAAGCGTAGTGATATCGAATTGCATGGTCTTTACTGCGAGGTGGCATCTTGACAGGCAAGTGTCCACGTTCATATCGTCCGCGTAACTCACTTCTAGCTAACCAGCCAAGCGCAAGCCAACACATAGAGTATCACCAGCCGTACATGATGTAAAGGGCCTAGGCTGGGCAAATAGTCTGGAGACTCCGATGTCTGCACGCATACGTGCATACATACATACATACGTACGTACCGACCCAACCACAAACGAGGGGCGCTCTTGAGACCAAGCAGCTCTTCAATCACACAGCCAGCCAAGGGATATGACCACCCAGTTGGGCTCCCTGAAATTTTATCGTCTTTCACGAGTATTGCACTCAGACCATATCAGAACCCACCAGACCGGACCATACCTGCGCAGACAGTACTATACTAGACAGACCAGCCCATGTCAGACCAGACCATATCAGACCAGACCGTATCAGACCAGACCATATCAGACCAGACCATATCAGACCAGCCAATACTATATCAGAAGCCACCGGACCAGACCAGGACGGACCGACCGACCGAACGACCGACTGGACAAATCGGACAGAGGCACAGACGCCCAATTCTAAGGCAGTGTGCCTGCAGCAACTCGTCTTGGAAGCGCAAAGTGGTCGAATTGGCTATGCTGCTGTGCTGTGCTGTGCTATTTTATGCTGTGCTGTTCTATTCAATCTATGCCGTGCACTTCCCACTGAATTATCCAATATACTTAACTACTGGATACATAATTTACAGTAAATAATAGGAATGGGGTTCAGGCCCAGAACGCCACGCCTTGTACTTCAACATGGATCATGTTGTACACTTATTGTACTCGTACACCTCTCTCTGCTCTCCGTTGATGGGTGGGTTGAATACTTATTTGACTGGCCCACCGGTCCAGAGATCCCTTATTTCCAAGATACCTGATTCTTTCCGAGTACTCGTACAAGTAATGTAGATGTGCTTTTCCGTGTTGAATGGAACCGTCCCCACGGCGGCATTGTCGGCGACGTCTTCTTGGCGCACTAAACGCTGTATAGAGAAGCCACGCATCTCACCTCATCACTGATTGTTCATTCAGACAATCTCATGTCAAATCTATGACCTCGACGAGCCCATGCCTTGGCCTTAGTGACTCCGTCCCGCTCGTCGTGGGCTTTGCTTTCGCTTTCTTGGACCGTTCCTCTTGCTCCGGATCTGGGTCTTCGAGAGCAGGCCTCTTAAAACGACTAGTCGAAGGGACGTTCGCGCTGGATGGTTGCAGAGGTAATACCCCGGCGGGAATTTGCTCGCCAGGGCCAGGTGGTAACTTCAACATGGTGACGTCGGCATCGATGATGCCAAGGGCAGCACCATGCAGGACATACATGTGGAAGCGGCCGGTCTTGACGAGCTGTGATATCATCTTCTGGGCCTCGGCTTTCCTCGTCTTCCATGTGTCGTGGTCGACCTGGGCCTTGCTCGGATTCTTTGTGATCTGCCAGACATTGGGATTCGAGTTCCGAAGTGTCGTGACCGAGTAGTTGGCGCCTGCTTTGTCGGCGAAAAAGCTATGCAGGTGGTGACGTCGGGCCTTGCCGACGGGGAATTTGCCGACTATGCGGTCCGGAGCGGCCAGGAACGCGTTGACCGAGGAACAGTCAGAGCAGGAAGATGACCGGCACCCACCCGTGCGCTGGCTCCACGTGCCTGGAGCGGCGGGCTCGCGGCCGACGCCGGCCACGATAAAACGTACGAGCATGGCCGTCACCAGATTCTTGTCCTCGTCGGAGGCTCGGTTGCTTTCTGGGTCTAGCTTCAGAGACTCAACCTGTTGCTGCAAGACCAGCTTCACGAAAGGAAGCAGAGTGTGGATGCAGGCCTCGCGGTCCGCTGCTCCGACGGCGGAACGGAGACGAGACTTCATCTCCGAATCGGTCAGCACGCCTAGAGATGAAGTATGTCTCAGCGAGCGGGCAAGCTCGCTTCCCCCGAGGAGGCGTTCTTCAGGCCTTGGGGCTGGAGGGACCCGAGGGGGAGTGCCATACATTCCGTAGATACCTCCGGGGGCCCTAGTGGTTGCGATCGGGGCTTCCGGAAGGGACTCGAGCTCAAAAGACATCCAAATGTTTGTGTACACGGCTCTGCTGACGCTCAGACAGGCCTGAGGGCTGAAGGTTAGGAGGCTTGCTTCATCCAACTCGGTTGTTGTCTCAACGTCGTCGACTCGCGCAACAAGGCAATTTGCGAAAGCTACCTGGAATGCAGTACCGCACTTCGCAATGGCCGGAATGATGCTGCACATAAGTTAGTCCGCGTGGACATGGGTGACAGACAACCCTCAGACGTACTGCTCTCGGACGTCCTTCGCAGTCCACTCTCCAATGATGTTGACGAGCGCCGCGCCATCTGCTTTTGACAGCTTCTGGGCATCCGCAGCTGCCACAAGCTGCCTGACCAACACCTGTTGAGCCCAGACACTGTACTGTACGGGGAGCATCTCGTCGGAGCGCAAATTGGACTGTACACCTTCGCCAACGATCATCAGGTATTCATGCTTCTGAATCAGAGTGCTAGCCAGGCCCAATGCAGCCTCGATCCTGTGATCGTGTTAGCCGGAATATTGGGTTCGGTAGTCTGAACGATGGCATCTTTTTTTCATACCTTTGCGCAATCTCAGGACGGACTTCGCGGCCCAAATGGCGGCCGAGCAGCCGAAAGACTTCTCGTGATTGTGAGTCATTGATGCCCTGGATTAATCCGTCGTAAAGGTCAAACCGGTCGCACTGTACCGCGGACGCAATAGCTTCCTGTATGAGGATATGCGCACTCTCTTGGTCTCGCCGCCAGTAGCGATTTTCATTCTTGTTGGCCAGCACGAGTTCACAGACTTTCATTAGATCTTCGTTAGCCTGGGGGTCATTTTCAGCTTTTTGACGGAGGTCCCTCAATAAAGCAGTCACTCGAAGATTTCGCCTGTCACATTCATACAAAAATTCGACCTTTCTGGCTGGCGGCACGATGACCATGACCTGACGCGGGAAACAATTAGCCATTGCCACGAAGGTTCGTTAGCAAGTCACTTACGGTATTGCGATACCGAAAAGTCGCAGTACACCCCTCATTGCCCGTGTATCCAGAGTGCTCTTCGTCGTCCGGCTCCTCCTCGTCTTCATCCGTGGAGTCCACAATGTTTTCTTCATCCACTTCAAGTCCTCGCTCTGCAAAATTGACTGGGTGGTCCATTCGTGAGCCGGCCAGGTCGGCTATGTATGTCAAAGTGATCGAGCGACTAATCTCTTCCTCCTCCTCCTCTCCCTCCTCTCTCTCCTCCTCCTCCTCATCATCCTGCTCATCCTCCTCCTCGTCGTCATAGTAACCATAGCGACGATCATCATAACCATCATCAGTCTTTGTAATTTCTTTCTCCATGTTAGCGAGGTACAGTTCGAAGCCGAGTTCGTCTGCGACCTGCTTCAAGCATTGTAATTGGCCAAGATCTGCGCCTTTCAACAGGTCCGCCCGAAGGCTCGCCTGGGTGTACTGATGCTGCAACCGGTACACGAGAAAGTTGGGCAAGTCATCAAATTGTTGGAGATACTCATTGTATTTGGTCAACGCAGCGATCAAGTTATACTTCTCCTCGAACGATTTAGCGGGCGTCACCTGCCCTCCTTGAGGGGCGCCGTGACGTATCAGATTGTACGTTAGGACCAGTCGATATCCGGCGGTCACCGGCTTGACTTCGTGAAGGACGTCGGCATACCAAGCGGCGTACGACATGGCAAATCCAGAGTTTGGCGCCGTCTCGATTGATTTGGTTTCTCCATTGAAAGTCAGGATAAGCTCACCACCTTCGTGAGCAGAGGGCAGGCAGATGGCCAAGGTTCCGAACATGCCGGGAGCCTTTTCACTGTCTTTGTGCGGCTTGAAGAAAGCACCTGGCTCGTACAAGAGCAGCTTGTACAGCTCTGCAGAAAAGTTGTCGGGCTCGATATCAAGTGCGAGTTCGCGATGGATCTTTCTAGCGACGTTGTCGATTGCTTGCTGCCACTGGGGGTTACGGATGGTAAATTGAGCCGGGTCGAGCTGCCATGACTTTCGGATCGAGGTGTCGACGATGGTCTGCGAGCCCTTGCCGAATGGACTTTGCTGGGACTTTGAGATGATGGTCTGCGCATCATGTTGAGAAAGCGGCAATCCGATCATGCCGTGGTCCTCTAGATAGAGTCCTGGATTTTGCGCGTTCTCCAAGGCACCGCCACAAGCAAAAGCGCTTGGGCCATGTGCGTTAGAGAGCACATCGGAAATCTGATCTTTGAGCTGCTCCAAGGATGGTGACTGGGCACGCCGCTGTCCCGCACGCCCGTCCGCACAGAGAGGATCCATGTCCGCAAGAGTGATGGACCCGTGGCGGGGAGGCATTGTTCACTTGACAGGACCCTCAGCAACGGACAAAGGCCAGCTGAAGACGCGAGGACCAATGAAGAGGAGTCAAGGGACACCGAGAGTGAAGGCAAACGTGTGGGCATCGTCCACCATCGTTTAGCGCGTCGAGCGAGAACCAGACGCGACGAGGCTGAACCAACAGCTCCGACGAGGCTGAGCAGGGTCGCAAGTGCATGATCCGAGATACAGCGAAGAATTGTGGCTTTGAGCGTGGTCCAGACATGGAGGTCGCAGATGCACCTCGAAGACTATTACGTGCGGCGCAAGCGGTGCCATGACGAGAACAGCTGCAAGTGTACTGCTCGCGAGAATAATTATTGTTCATGCATTGTAGGAGAAGTGAGAGGCACAAGGTCCAAGTCGCAAAGTCGCTCCACCAGGGAAATCCACGGCCGCGGCTACCTCAGACTGTTGCTCGAGAGGAAGGGTGTCTCCGTCGAAGAAACTCGCCGGCAAGCGAGGCTCATGTATATCCACCAATCTCGGCGACTTGAACGCCGGCCCACGTCTGGTAAAGACCCGAAGACGGATTGGCGCAGAGACGCCACCTGGATGTATGTCGGCTTAAATCTCCGGGTCTGTTGACTTCGGGCTTATTTTATTTTGACGTCTGCACATAAAACAATGCGACCGCTAGCCAGCCTCAGGCGCTTCAAGGGCTTTTGTCACCCGTGTCTCCATGGGTCGAAGATAGCTGGCACGTCGCCGTCGACAAGACAAGGTGTCGAAGTGGTTGGGTGACAGCCACAAGCACCAAGCCAAGCTACAGCCCCCCAGAAATCTGTGCGATCTTTGGAGCACACGTCGTAAGCCACACCTCTGCTATAGCGAGGACAGCCGGCCCAACACCCCATTGAATTTGTTGTCAGGTCTGTCGGAATGAAGTTTGCGAATTATCGATGAAATATTTATCACGAGCGTCCGCGAGCAATTCGCCGCTATGAAGCGCCTATACAGGAAGATGGTCTCGACCTCCCGATAGCCAGGCAGTTCCTGTTTGGCGGCTGCAAAGTACAGGTCGCCTAGAGAAGCTCCTCCGCCGGTTGATTACTGGGAGACAATAAGTCGCTATTGCCCATCGACAGCCAACGCCTGATGCTAGACAAATTTCGCCAGTTTTCGATCCCCCGACCTGAAGAAAGTCCGAGGCTGGCGCGGGACAGGGAATGCGTCAGATGTAAGTGAGAGGACACCATGGATCGACCCGGAGCCTTCAGTGTCGAAGAAGCTTTCGTTAGCAAAGGGGTGAGTGACAGTAAATGGTAATCTCTTCAAAGTCGAAAAGTTCAAGCGGTCTGGCTGAATATCCCCGTGTCAACTATGGTGCAGTGACTGACACCACCGAGAGGGTCACCAGGACACGTCCATGGTGGAAGCCGCCAACGGCAATGCTGATACATTTTTGTGCAAAGTCCATCATAAAGTATCGCGAAGACATAGTCATGGCGGCGACTAGTCGGCCGATTTGTTTCGGCGTCAGCGATATTGATGTCCACGATAATCGAACTCGAGCGCGAGGCCTGACCACCTCTCCATAGGCGATGACGGCCTTTGGCTTTGACTGAGCCATCTCCACTCCCGTGTTGGCAACCGTCATTCACCACAACACCCTCGCTCGCAAGCTAACGGGATGGCTGACGATCACTTGGAGTGATGGCTCCGTCACAAGCCCGTTGCAATATCGAGCATGTTATGAATGTTTGTCGCCAGGGTCCTCACACGAGAACGGCTCAGTTCAAGGGCGGTACGCTCTTTCAATGAATTGATGGATACTCGTACGAGTACATGGGAAGTGTCGGTGAGTCTGACCAGCACTTCAACACCTTGTCACAAACGATCGCCCGAGCACAGCTGCGCAGGGCCATCGGGGGGCCAGCCAGTGATCAATTACTGCATCGAGAGAAGGCGGAGATTACATAGAAAGTGTGAGCACTCGTACGAGTACCCTGCGAAGACCCCCTGACATGATGACAGTTGCCAGCGAGGGTTTTGTCCCTGGCTGTTCTGCTTCATACCCTCCAATGGCGGAAAGGGTGCAAGTGATGTTGAGGGGTCATAGTGGCGACCATCGAGCACGATCTCGATCTGGACCGTGCGAGCATCGCGCAGGGGACGGGATGCTGTCATGCTCTTTCTGAGCAGAATTAGGATCCAATGTTCGTTCGTGGACGCCTGCGATCGAAGCACGACGCCTGGGGGCATTACTAATGTGTGCTTTGCGTAGGTAACTCACACTAGGAGTCTCTTGAACAACGAACTTCCCTTAACTGGTGCTGGTGCTGGTGCTGGTGAAACTAGGTCAGGTTACCTGTCACCTTGTGCATCTTGAGTCAAAGAATCAGTTCGAAATTGGCATCATCGCAAACGGGGCGTGCGGGAGGTGATGTGCAGCAGCCCCTCTCCGGGGGCTCGTTCAGAAAGGCAAACGATGGCCGTCATACATGATTTGCCAGGCGTGGCCTCAGTGCCTCTGGTGCCCGTCTCCCGCCTCGATCTCTCACGGCCCGCAACGTCACACTGTGCTAGGTACAGTGGGTATCGTCAACACCACGAGCATTAAGGGGCAGCTTACTGGTTCCAGGCATCGTCGATGTGTCGAGAACGCTCGTCAGGAGCCGAGACGTGAGGGTCCCCCATCGGACAATCACAATGTCCCATCTCTGATTTCACTTTCCCATGATGACATACCATGAAGGTGAGCCAGGCGAGCTGTGACGCCAATGCTAGATCCATCACACACACAACCGAACTGACGATGAGCATGTGGAGAACAGATGTCTGGAGAGCGGGTGGCAAAACACATTCCACCCGTGCGCATCAGGTATGACGTGCTCCTGGTGCGCAGAGGGAAGGGGGAATGATGCAAGCGATCTGCGAGGCTGTTGCCCAACCGCGACCTTTGCACACCCGAGAAAACACCCAGCCGAGTGTTTGACCTCGGAGAAATTGGATAAGCACTACGAGGTATGAGTACTCTTACCCAATCCCGTGGTGCTTTCTTGGTGTTGCCGATTACCCTTTGTAGCCGTTACGACTCGCCCGCCCCTTGGAAGTTGCTCCTCTACTTCCTAAGCTTCCTCACCAAAGCGATGGTTCCTAGGGAATATGGTGACTGTAATTCACAGGAACAAATACGAGTATAGGCTTAGGAAGGTCTTGAGCATCATATGTACCCGATGATGGGAAATTTTAAATTTGATTCATCACTGAGTAACAGCACAAGCTCGCCCACTCCGCCAGAACCCCAATACACACAAGTATATGCGCCATCTAAATGCTTATGCTCCTGGCCCAAAAGTAAAGCCGAGGTTGTCATAACGCAAGTGCATTGCTCACGAGCTAAGACTGTGGGCAAAGTACATAGAACCATGCCCGGCAAAAGTAGATCATATCGCAAATCCGGGCACTACCCGCAGCGTACGAACAGAACTTTTTACGTGGCACCCGTGCCCAAAGGACGCTTTGAAAACCCGTTTCCGCCCGATGGAGAGCACTGTCGAGTCGCATGACCGTCGAAATGTCGACTGAGATTTCATTAATCTAACGCTCAGAGGATGCTGGGATGATGGCGTCTAAAAGGATGATCGAGATGAATTGCTGCTGTGGGTGCTCTGTTTCGACAATCCGGTGTTGGCGTGTGCGTTAACCCCAGTGGACGAACTGCTGCTTCGTCGGCGTGCTGACCGCGTAGCAGCGTCCATTTGTGACTTGGTATGGCTATGCATCATGCGAGAATATGAAGTCATGGCGGCAATGGGATCTGACTCATAGTCGAGGGCCTCATGTTGAGGAGAAGTGAGATATTCGACGGCGGCAGGCATATTTGGTGACGAAGACTCAGATGTTGGGAGGATGAGAATATATTAATCCTTTGGTTTCAAGAAAGGAATTTGCGTTGATGGGATCTGCCCAAGTCGTGACCACGAATATTGCTGTTGGAAGGGATGGGGAATGATTTGAAAGGGGGAGAAATGGACGCCGTGGTTATATATCTGTCTGCGATGATCCTCCATACCAGGCTGAAATTCTTAGGACTATGGGGGAGACGGCAGCAAGTATGAGCGCGAGTTACGGGAGAGGTAGTCCCAAAGCCTGGAGGCGAAGAGATGGCGTAGGCAGACCAGTAACAGCTGTGAGACGCCAGGAAAGGTCATGCATGTTGCCGTCAGTCAGCCGACGCCGAAAAGCCACCTAGCGAACCAGATGTGAGAGAAGCGACGATCAGACGGCAAGACTGAGCCCTCGATTACCATACAAAATACAGATCTTCGAGGCCAACGTGGGGATTGAGCGAATGACGAACCGTTATGAGGCCGTCAACTGGTGGAGCACGACCCTGCCGATCACTGGAGGCGTGTTGTGTCCCTCAGGGTCTGGTAGTTCGAGACAATGCAGCATGATCGCATCTCCCGCTTGATAGGTTGCAAGCTCAAATGTGGATAGAGAGGAGGCTCTAGACGCAACGGTTTTCTGCTGGACAAACATGGGATTCTCATGCTCAGACGCTGAAGATAAGCATGGGAGCCGTGTTGCCAGCGATCGGCGGGTGGGGGAGTAGCTCTGGCAAACACTGGGAGCGGCAAGCGTAGGGTCCGGTCACGCACCATGCAGTTCGAGACTGTGCAAGCATCGCACGAAGGTCCGCTGTCCATAGCATGGTACTTCGACTCCCTCCCTCTCTGGCAAGGCTGCTCGTGCCGTGAATTGGTGGTAGTCGTCTCTAAAAAGTCAGATGTTATGGGGTGCATTGGCAGGAAGGCCGCATCGAATAGCCAGTCTCTGCCAGAGAGCCATGGTTGGTCCGGGGCGCAGCTATGACGTCGATCCAGCCCAAAGGTGGAGCAGGTGCAGCCTTGCGTATGCCAAGCCAAGCCACCCGCACCTTAAAGTCGAGAGCAGGCAGGACCCTGAAACGGCAAGAGCACCGACTATTTTAATTGTGGTTCTGGCCACGCAGGAAGTTCACCGCATGATACTCGCACAAGCTCATCCAGTCCACCATACGAATTGATTTGAACTGCACGGCAGTCTGTAGAGGAGCACCAGGGGCCATCAGATTTGAGGTAACCTCAACAGCTTTTGACTGCTCGGCTGTCCAGCAAATGCTCAATGCATAAATGGAACCATTATCCGTCTGGCAGCTGGACGTCGGAGTCATCTGGGATGGTGTGGGTGACATAGGGGCTGACATTAAAAGCGTTTCTTTTCGAAAGTAGGCAGTGAGGGCTATTCATCTGCCAGTGCTGATGTTGTTATTCTTCTGCCCAGGCAAATGAGGGCCAGAACTTACTCGGGGTGGTTCGGGATGGAGTCCGCCACGCCACGAAATAGCCCTCTACATTATCACTGCACGAGTGCTGGGTACGACCATGCTGGATAGGCGGCAAACCATGTTCCAATCCGAGCTGTTCTCGATTCAGGGAGTCCATAATCGACGAAGCCAGGCGATCGACATGATAAGACGTACTGGAAGATGCTAGGTGCACGAGTACATCCAATCACTGGATTGGCATCGTGGTGGCCCAGGCATTGTTTGGAGTGCGGCAGCTGACTTGAATCATCGAACTCGTGCGGGGCCTGCGACTGGGGCAGGCCTGCAGCGCAAATCGCAGCACCTACTGGGCACTCGCAGGGAACCAGGCGACAGAATGCTTGGAGCATCTCATGTTTTGAGGACGATTGGTACTCGTATGTGCTTGTCAAATTGTAGGTTGCGCCGTGCGCGAGACCAGACGGGGTCTTCAATGTTAGTCCTCGACATCCATTGAATGAACTAGTTTCCGACATCTTATTGCCGGCCCCCAGCATAGTGGTGATTCTGCCCAGGCGGCACATTGGGGTAGGCAGGCCAACTCGCAGGCGGGTAGGGGATATTGGGCGGCGGGGGAGGTGGAAACGCCAGGTTTTGGTAGCCTGCAAGCCCCTGAGAAAACTGAGGCGGAGGAGGGGGTGGCCACGGCCCAACCCAGCGAGGTGGTCGTGGCGGTGGCACGGATACGCCTGGAGGCGCGAATGGGAGAATTGGGAACGGCACGCCGATTGATGCTGGAGGTGCTGCTGCGGGCGGCGGAAGGTTTGGTGGTGAGGCGACTGGGGGAAGGCCTGAACTGACATTCGTCCTCGCCCGCTCACTTCTCAGAGCGTGCACTGGCTCTGGGGTGTACTGCGGGGAATACGAACCACTTCTTGAGCGTGAATGACTTCCGTTCCGGCTTCCTGTCTTCTGTTGCCCATCATATCTAGGTCTGGAAAGAGACCTGCTGTAAGAGCCCGATGATCGAGACCGTCCACGACTGGAATTACTGCGCCGTCTACGCTTTCGAGGGGTGATGCTTCGGCTGCGAGTGCTTCTGGATCTTGAGCGCTGAGAAGACCCCTCGGACCCACGTCTGCCACGCTTCTTCATTTTTTCACAAAATGCCCTCGACCATCCATAGTACGTGTCGCCGACCAAGTCACCGGCCTCGTCATGGTATGAGATTTGGCCCAGTTCGTCCAACTCAGGGGAGAGGCCTGCTTCTTCCAGTTTCGAAAAAGACCGCTTAATGCCGTCGACGTCCTTGAGGAAGTCCTTCAGCGCATTCACCAGGCTATCGTCCGCCGGACCAGCTGAGAGTTGCAAAGCCCGTATTTCGTCAACCCTCATTGGCTGGGAGCTGTTCGGGACAATGTGCCGCATGAGATTGCCCGCAGGAAGATCGAAATAGGGCGATGAGGGGTCTCCGTGTGTTGGTGGAAGAACATAGGGTGTTTCCTTTGCTTGCGTTGTCGGTTCTGTTCCAGGCGCTGTTTCTTGGGTTGTGCCAGTCAATGCACCTTGCAATTGCGTGATGATTTCTTGCACAAAATACTGTTCTTCTCCCCAGATATCGATCACATCCGATAGGCGCCTGGCGACGTGAGATCCCGACTTAGACGCACTGAGTCTGACGAGCTCAACCACAAAGGGCTGCAGAGACTGTGTCAAGGTGCTTTGCACGCTTTGGTCGTGCGCGTGATATTTGCCGTGGTGGAGGAGGTCATTGACAAGGTAGAGAATATGAAGCCGTTGTCGGCAGGATAGGTTCGTCTGGGTGGTTTCATCGTCTTGGTTGGCAAAGTGCCTGGACAGAGTGACTAGGTACTTCCCAAGGGCTGTTGTCCTCCCTGTTGAGACGACGACATTCTCCAACAGCCATTGTTTGCACGTCTATAGTTCTTCAGTCAATCCGCCTCCAGAGCATACAGTGACTTTGAGTTCCTCAGACCTGTACATTGTGACTCGAGCATATGGTGAGCATGGCCTCGAAGGCATCGTGGAAAACGAAGAGGTCGTCGCGGGACACTTTCGTCACGTCCGGTCGCAGAAGTGATGCGCTGAAAGAGGCTTTGGCGATCGAGATGTGCGCAGACATTGCCAATATACATTAGATTCAACGGGGGTGAATGTCTATGACATGATTTCCTGAGATCAACTCGGTCTCCGAGATCTTGGATTTGTTTCGCCGACTGGAGATGCAATTGTGACCTGCGGAGGAAGATCGCAGTCTGGAGAGGCACGTGAGAGGCTGGAGGCTCAGCCACAAAGCCAAGAAAGCCACAGCAAAGTACGGAGGAGCATTCAAGTGACCAGACGTACCCCGGGCGCCAAGCCTTATCTCGGGTCATCGGCACGGCTTCGCACATGCTTCTTTCATTTTCCATGGGGCTACAAACAAGTACCGCAGTAGCACCTCGTACTTGGTACTGTGTACTGTGTATATCGGTCCAAGTCAGGGTGATCGCTTTTGGCCGGTGTAATTGTAACCGTCCGAGTGCTCGTCGCATGCTATGTCAGGTGAGTGACCCCGGCAAGAATTCCGCGTATACATCGGACCTTCAACGATGAACCGTTTCCGGGTCTTGGTCTCTGACGTTTCGGCGGAATCGCGCAACTCTACTTTATGAAGCGCCCACTTCCATATTACCAACGGTGCACAAATCCAGTATTTGCCGTATACACAGGACCACAGTACGAATCTCAGGCCACTAGGCATCTGTCAAGTGTAACCACAGCTGGCCAACTTCTGAGCCGCCCTCGCGGTTCGTTCCTGGCAGTTATAGTGGCCACCCACCCACCACATTCCCATTTCTCAGCACGCAATCGCCGGCATCTCCAAATCCCACCGCGCCTGTTTGTGCCTGATCCGATTCAAAGGCCCAACAGCAGGGCATTGTCTCCAACTCCTGACGCCTTTTCATCCCACATCGTGTGACAACGGACTACTTCTTAACTTTGTGCCTCCTCCGTCCTGCCCTCCCTGCTTCTCTTCGGCGGCTCCGTTGACAATTCTCAGAGCACTCTCTACATCCTCGCAAGACGCATTTCCCCGCACCTCACCGCAGCTTTAGTCGACAAGAGCCGGCCACTAGACGCCTAGAAACTTCGGTTACAACCCACTCTCTGCAACATACAGCAATCATTCTACAGCCATGAGTCTCGCCGGCGCAGTCACGAGTACCCTTACCCAGACTGCGGTCCGCCATTTCTCTGCCCAAGCACCGAAACCAGCGACCAAACTGCAATCTGCCGTTGCCGGCACAATAATCACATCGGCAGTCATTCTTCCATTTGTCCCTCCTGCGATCGAGTCGAAAAGAGAGCGTGAATCCGGACATCCTAATGCTTCTCGGAAGCATTATGCACCACTTTGCTGCCACGCATGACCAAGATGGGCATAATGAATAAAGAAGAATCAGTCAGCATGGTGTCGGCGTTAAAGGATTGTGGATGTTCGTCCTGCAATGGATTGTTTGGAGGGGAGTTATCAGCGAAATACCCATCGTCTTGGAGTCGTAAATTCCAGTACAACAGGAGCATTTTAGAGAAATGGGCCAGGCACTGCATTAGAGCCTGGCGCCAGGGGTGTTTGTACACAGCAAAGGACCGCATCAACAACAGCCGATACGCGATATACCGCCCATAAAGAACACAATCGTCCTGTTCTGTTTCCTTTGCTCAGCTTAAGCGGTCACCTTTCTTGCTTCTGAACGGCTCTGCAGCTTCGTACTTGCTCTTCTCGCGCACTCTCTGCTCGCCGTCTACAGGCGCATGGCCGACCGGTGCCGCATCCTCACTTATCTCGCTGCTCGGACTACCCGCATGATCCAGCCCTTTCGTACTGTGCGTGCCAGTAAACGGGTCCGCCTGATCTTTCGTTCTTGCTTTCGATGTGGACGTAGCAGGGGCGTTGTTGAACGAGTACTGTTTGTCTTCATAGCGTTGCTGTCGATACTTTTTCTGCTGTTCCGCTTCAAATCGCGCAGCTCGGTCCGCATTGATAGATCTCTTTGCAAAGTAGTATGCGCCTCCACCAGCGACGCACAGAACACCCCAGCCGATCCTGTCCACAGCGGCCCGTTAGCGAAAGGTCCGACTCGTAGCCGTCGTGAGATGAAGCAATCGTCAAATAGACCGACATTGCATGCAACTAAGGGTCCTCACCAAGTTGATCTAATCTGCACCACAACTTTAGCCGTTCACGTCCATCATTGCACCAGACGAGAGCTTACAGTATTCATCTTCGGTAAGTGCCGATTACCTTTCGGCACAGAACTGGACTATCGCAAAGCTTGCTTGTTGTCAGTCCCGAATAATAAAGAGTCTGCCTTTACAACGCGGACAGTTGTGCAGGTCAAGAAGCAGGAGACAGTTAATGAGGTGCAGAGGGCTGAGTGCTCTTGGAGATCAGTTTGAGAAAGCAACTTTCGGTGCGGAGTGACGTCTTGCGCTAGGGAGCAAACGCGCCGCCGTGGCGATCCACGGAACGGTATTACTTTCTTCCACGCAGGCAGCACCAAGCGGTGGCAGTGAATCTTCTTGAACCTTTGTGTCACAACTTCCAGAGTCCTCTTTCATGCTGTCGCCTCTCCATATCCAGCTCGTCTGTCCCTCGCTTAGCGCCCCGGTACTGTCACCGGCTTGTAATCTCGTACTTTCACGAGGTCTCTGCCGCCGCACCTCGGTGGCATGTCACTAAAGCGGAAGGCACTGGGAGACGTCGCCAGCGGTCGATCCTCAAAGCGCTCCACCCCCGCCGCCTCCACGCCCGTTAGCCTCGACAGTGACGATGAGTACTTCGAAGGCTCCGACGGGCGCTCGCAGGATGACGCGAGTGACAGCGAGAAAGAGCACATTAGGAAGGCCAGAGCAAGACTAGACTTCAGCTCCTTCCAAGGCACAAAGCAGAAATATAGGCCATCAATCTTTGGTGAAAAGGACTTCTCGTGGCTGTCATTGAAAGCAGATCATGACAATCGGCCACTGTGGATCGACCCAAATGTCTCCGCAGGATCAAAGAAGGGCCCCAAGATCACGCTGGAGAGTTTCTCTCCGCTGGCTTCGCAGGCCACAGACTTACTTACCACAATTGCCGAGCCTCAGTCGAGACCAACATATCTTCACGAATATCGGTTCACAGAGCACAGTCTCTATGCAGCCCTATCGGTAGGTCTCCGCGGCGAAGATATCATACGTGCGCTCGAGAAGCTGTCGAAGACCCAAGTGCCTGAAAGCGTGATCGAATTCATCAACAGACATACCAAAACTTATGGCAAAGTCCGCCTAGTGCTACGGAACAACAAATTCTATGTTGAGTCGGATGAGCGCAGTATCGTCGATATGCTATTGAGAGACCCCATCATCGGACCTTGTAAAGCCGTCGGCACTGATGTTCAGACCGGTGTCATCCAGACCAAGGCGACTGTCATCCAAGGCACCAGCAATGCCAAGGGCATGACACAAGCTGGACAAAACAATGTGGAGATGCCCCGCGACAACCCTCCGAATGAGAACGAGGCAATGATTGCGGCGCTCAGAGACGAAGAGGACGAAGAGGACACATATAAAGAAGCCACCAATTTCGAGGTTGCCCCGAACAAACGTGATGAGGTGGCCAAGCGCTGCCTAGATATTGGATATCCTGCCATCTCCGAGTACGATTTTGCCAATGACTTCGAGAATGCGTCCCTCGCGATCGACTTAAAACCGTCAACCCAGATCCGACCGTACCAAGAGAAAGCTTTGAGCAAGATGTTCGGCAATGGCCGTGGTAAGAGCGGTATCATTGTCCTCCCGTGTGGCGCAGGCAAGACACTGGTTGGCATCACAGCAGGCTGTCATATAAAAAAGAGTATTGTCGTCCTCTGCACCAGTGCCATGTCGAGTTACCAATGGTCCAACGAATTCAAAAAGTGGTCAGATATCCAGAAAGATGACATTGCGGTCTTTTCCGCAACCGACAAGTATAGATTCAAAGGAGAAGCAGGAGTTCTGGTCACAACCTATTCGATGATAACAGCCGGTGGGAAGCGTGCCCATGACACTCAGCAGATGATGGACTGGATACAAAGCAAAGAATGGGGTCTTATGCTCCTCGACGAAGTGCATGTGGTCCCCGCGAAGATGTTCAGAAGGGTGGGCGAAACCATTCGGGCTCACTGCAAGCTCGGTCTTACGGCCACCTTACTTCGTGAAGACGACAAAATCACTGATCTGAATTTCCTCATCGGCCCCAAACTGTACGAGGCCAACTGGATGGAATTGGCCGACCAAGGCCATATTGCGAAAGTGCAATGCGCCGAAGTCTGGTGCCCCATGTCGATTGAGTTCTATCAAGAATATCAGAATGCGAGCCCGCGGAAGCAGCCACTGTTCTACATTATGAACCCCGAGAAATTCCGGGTCTGCCAGTATCTCATCAACTACCATGAAAAACGAGGCGACAAGATCATTGTATTCAGCGACAATCTCTATGCGCTCCAGCACTACGCAAGAACCATTGGCAGATATTACATCTGTGGCGAGACCAGCAACAACGAGCGAATCGAGGTCTTGCAGAAATTTCAGAACGATGAACGCCGCGAAACCAGCACCATCTTCCTCTCCAAGATCGGAGATACTTCCCTCGACTTGCCCGAAGCAACATGCTTGATTCAGATCTCCTCGCACTATGGGTCAAGACGTCAGGAAGCACAACGACTGGGGCGGATCTTGCGGGCCAAGCGGCGTAATGATGAAGGGTTTAATGCATTCTTTTACTCCCTGGTCTCCAAGGACACCACCGAGATGGCGTATAGTGCGAAGCGACAAGCTTTCCTGGTTGACCAAGGGTATGCCTTCAAGACCATTACACACCTGGCCGGTATGGACAAGGAAGACCTGAGATACTCGACCTCTCGGGAGAGAAACGAATTGCTTGCCGACGTTTTGCTCCAGAATGAAACGGCAGCCGACATTGAGAAGGTTGAAGACAACATGTGGAGTCACCTCAGCGCAGGCGGTGGCGGAGCCAAGGCCCGGTCAAAGAAACCACAAGTCCGCAGGCAAGCTGGCCTGCTGGCGGACGTCAGCGGCGGTGGTGTCTCTGCTCCCATGTATCGCGAGCAGGACCGCAGAGGCAACAAAAAGGGCCCCGAGAGCGAGTGGTTCAAGAAGGAGTCGAGACGGAGGGAGCTGGCAGCTAAGAAGCGGAAGAAGGAGAGAGAGGAGGCCGAGAGGGCTGCTGGTCGGGCATAGCATGCTTAGACTGACTGATCTTGGGTCCCTCGAGACCGTTGTGGGATTGCCCCATCCGCTTGGCAGCAGGATGTCTTTAGTTGAATTTCACCTCCACTTTGGGCACCGGAGGAATCATCTTCAACTTGGCCAAATCGTCGAAGACTTCTAGCAGCGACTCTGAAGAGTCGACGAAACCGTGCCATCCCAGTTTCCGCGCTTTATCACTTCTATTGCAATTGGTCAGTTGGGATTCTCCCTCAGTCTGGACATAACAGCACGACCGTGATGGGAAGGGGAACTCACGAAAAGATAAGCGGTGCGGCCCTACAAACCGAGCCATCCAGGAATGAAAACACTCGTTCGATATCCATTTCCTTCAACTCCTTCTGCACAAGCCCGTCCCTCTGCGCCATCTCCCTCCATGCATCCGCCACGTCCTTGCGCCCAGCCCACTCGACAAACGTGAACCGGCGCCTGCTCACGCCGTTGCCGCCATAGCCGCGCGGATTGAACCTCGTTTCTCTCTCGACGTACTTTGCGCCTTCGTCCGGACCCTTCCACCGCACGCCGTACCAGCCGGCGAGACGGGGCCAGAACCCCTCCCACGTGAAGGCGGAGTCGTCCCACGTGTTGAACTTCTGGTTCTCCGCCGCGGGCGTCAACACGGCCCATTCCTCCTGGTAGGCGTTCATCATGCTGCTCGACATGGAGGTGTAGCTCTGCCACGAGGCGATGTCGCCGGGGAATTCCAGCTCGGCCTTCATATGGGCGGTGACGGCCGCGTACACGGCCATGGGGAACGCGAGATTCATCGCCGCGTCGGGCACCGCGCCCAGGATCGGACCCGGCATGCAGATGTTCCAGCCCGCGGCCTGGGAGCGGCAGTACGCGAAAAGAGCGTCCTCCTGGGGATAGTAGAAGTTTGGTTCGAACTGGTCGACGCGCGGGTCGGATTCTTCCTGAGGCAGTTTCGTCGGGCCGAGGTGCACGCCGTAGTTCTTCGCGCCCGTCTGGAGCATGATTCGCTTGGGCGTCAGGTTGGCCAGCGGGAGCGCGGACAGGAAGTTTGTCAGCAGGAGGGTGTTGACGCGGGCCATCTCCGCGGCGTCGCTCCAGAGGCCCTGGCCCGGCTTCGGGGCCGTTTGAACGTAACTGTAGAAGAAGACGTAGTCGACCGTGGTGACGTCGTTGTGCTTGAGAACCTTGGCGATCTCCTCCGGCGAGGTGAGGAAGTCGACGGCAATGTGTTCCGCGTTGCTGGGCAGGCCGCCCTGCACGAGCGGCGGACGGCGGGACAGGCAGATGATTCTCTTCCAGCGCGTGGGCGACTGGGCGAGCACGCGGAGCATGTACGCTCCGGAGATGCCATTTGCGCCCGTGACGATGGCGGTCAGGTCCCGGACGTGAGGTGGAAAGGTGGGCAGAGCGTGGTAGATTCCACGGGAATAGATCTGTTGGACGGTGTCAGGCATTTTGGGAGGGTGCTTTGCGGACTGGCTTTGAACGGCCTGCTCGGAAATCGTATATGCGGACGGGTTGGGGAACCGCAAAGAGTGGTCTGGTACAACCCCAGAGAAAGGCGACCGGGGATTTATAAGCGGAGTGTAGTAAGAAGAGGGTCGGCAGAGCCAGAAGTCGTGAAGCCAATATACTACGCGAAGCGGACACGGAAGACCGAGAGTATTACCAACCCAGCGGAGTCTTCAGGTCAGGACTATACCCGAACAGACTCGGTATGGCTCGGCTGATTGCTCTATGGAGGAAAGAACCGACAGCCGGTTGGCGCGGGGGATGCGGGGAGAGGGAGAGGGAGGGGGAGGGAGGGGAGGCGACAATTGGTGCGGAAGGCATTGACGTTGCGGCGTCCGGGCTGAATACAAGCTGCCGCACTGCTTCGTAGACGAGGCTGAATGAATGAATGAATGACTACTCCGAACGCTATATTGCGATGCGTCGGAACCTGCTACGAACTGAACCAGATCCTTGCTGCTTCCAGGACGATGCTTCTTAGCAATGGCGTCGTCTCGACCCCCTTGGCCGTTCCTGACCCGTTGACCGGCCGTTCCATGAAGGCAACCAGCCATGACAATGCTCCTCCTATCTCTCAAGACTTCAAGTGGACGGACATAGATGGCGGCGAGAGGACAGGTCCAGCAGCTGCAACGAGAACTGGTTCGGGCGAGCCTCGCGCTTCTTGAAGCAGCTGTACACGGCGAACGTCAGCGTGGTGCTCTTGCATGTTCCCGCCGAATATCACTCACGTAAAAGCCCCTCAACTCGAGATGCAAATCCCCTTGCATCTTGGTTCGAGGACTTCGACAGCTGGATCTGGCGTCGGATCTGTCGAAGGGTCGTGTTCCTGGTAACGTCTATGTCGACGGTCCATCAGCGCAGCCCCTGGGAAAGTCCTGGCAGAGGGTCACGTACGCCATATGGCTGCCGCCGGGAATGCCTGCACCGCTGCGTGTCGTATCCAGGTCACTGGTAACATCGCTCGACACAGGTGTTGCTGCCACCCAGGCCGAGACAAATGCGAGAAGGGAAAAGGCTGAGATTTTCATCTCGACCAGTGGTATGCTTATTCTACTCTTTGGATCCCACGTTGTGCGAGGCGGCTGTGTGTCTGTTTGTTGCCTCCCTCTGATTGATGACCAAGAGTGAGTTTTATATATGTCTATGCGTTTCGGAGAGCGCATCGACCTGCCCTCCTCGAACTGCATAGGCTTGAGAAGTCGAAGACTGCACATCTCGTGGTTGTGTCTCTCGAGGAGCGGAGAGGCCGAGACCTTGAAATGGTACAGTGTAGCTTGCACCACCTTGCGCCTGATCCCCGAGAGGTGCTTTTGCTAGCCTTATCAGACCGCCAGAGCTCGGCAAGGCTCACGAAGGAAAGTCTCTCATCCCGGGGTAGGATCACATTTCAAAAACTCTTGATGGGCGGTAAGAGTTCTCCCTCTTCCCATTCTTGGACAGGTAGGCAGCCGCTACTTCAGAATATTTTCGCCTGGTACACTTTTATTCACGTTCACTTTACTCGACTAGTCAGACAGAGTCGATCCACGGCGGCGGCAGCATTGGTCAAGACAAGCCCTCCTGATGACTCTGCTGGACATATTGGCGATTACGCTGTTGTTTCATTCTCAGGGATCGTCAATGACCAGGCCATGGAGTTGCCACAATTATCTTTCACAAAAGATCCTCGACCGACATCTGACCTATCCAACATCCTATCGAGCGCGATCCACTCTGATAGCAGAAGGGACATTGGGGACGACAAGGAAATTCATCAACCCTGCCTCCGGTCACATTGTGGCCGTGAAAACCCATGGGGTTCGCCACATGGATGAAACAGAACAAGAATACCTTGCACACATACGGAATGAGTATCATATCGCATCCGGCTTGTGGCACCCAAACTTGGTGGAAACCTATGATCTGTACAAGGGGCAAGAAGGCGGATGGCACCAAGTGATGGAGTATCTTCCCGTTCAATTCAACGAGGTGGAACTGTACGGTGAGACGGACTCGCAGGAGCTTCTCGACAGTCTGTTTGCGCAGATCCTCACCGGCGTCACTTACATGCATTCTGCCGGAGTGGCACATATGGATATCAAAGTCGAAAACCTTGGCCTCAGCCGTGATGGAATGGTCAAAATTTTCGACTTTGGATCCTCACGAGTATTCCGCGGAGCAGCGACATACCGGTTCAAGCCCAAGGTATGTACTCGGAAGCACGCTTGCGAGGATGCCAGTACGAACCCATGCAACATTCCTGGATCCCAGCGGCATGTTACTTTCCCGAGCCAGGCGACGAATACGACCCCTTCAATGACCGCGAATGGTTTCTGGATAGGAATCTGACAAGGCCGCTGTACGAGGAACAAAAGGCAATGCTTCTTCGCGGGGACGATCTTTGGGTGTACAAGAAATACTACCATAACGAGCATTGCTTGTACAACTGGGGAAAGTTAGCGATTGCCGTCAATCAGCGCCGGGAATATATCGATAGTAAGACCCTCAGTCTTGCTCAATCGACGCATTGCGCCAGAGCCATAGCCGATCAGTTGCTGAAGTCTGAATTATACGTGTTCAACAACACCGGGAACTTCACGAGTGCACCTTTGTTGTTCCACACGTGTGTATCCTTGTTCCTAGGCTAGGCTTTATTATTGTGTCCGGAGGACTGCCTACCGGCCGGTGAAAATCAGGGAATCATGTATCAAGTGGGAATATTAGCAATCACAGAACTCCTCGTAGCCTAGACTGTGGAGATGATCACCCTGCAACAGGAGCCAGCACAGTCTGTTCTTGAGTCCTCCTTGATTGACGTTTTGCGCATCCACCAACATCCGCGAGGCAGATCTTTCGTGGAGCGCCATGATTTCCACTCACAATGACCGGATATTCTCGAGGTTCATAATCTGACAGGCAGACCGTGGTAGACACCTGAGCCCAATGCGACCCATCTCCAGCAAAGCCACTGAGGTCTGGCTGTATTCCAACTTCTCCCCCAGCACCACCCAGTTATATCCCTCGGCACAAGTATTCACTATATATTATTTTCCAGAGAGAAATTCAGTCACAACATCTTCTCGGGCACAGGTCAAACTAGCACCGGGCTAGAAGGCGTGTTCGAGACGAATTGTGCGACACACATCTCCCCACTTCGAATCTTGCAGTTGCTCGAAATAAGCAACAACCCCCCTCGACTGCATCCTCCTCGTCCTCCTCCTATTCGACCGACAACAGAAATAAGCGGTGGATCCAAAGGCACAGAAATAACATAATGGTTGCATACTTGACAAGTCAAATCGGCGGTGGATCCGCAAAGATGGGAGTAGACCGGTGGCCGGCCACCACCGGATATAGCCCATCAGAAACAAATGATATCTAAACCTCTCCCGTTCGAGTAGAGGTTGTGGTACCGTTTTGTTTCTGTTCCCTTTCTTTGTGTGCACCGTCGCCGTTGTCTGCGTGCGCAAACCCGTACAGCCTCGTGGAGCTGCACGGCGCGCATTCTGCCAAGCATCACAAGGCTGAATGCCCCTTATGGGCCTCATCTCCATCCCTGGGACTGCGGGGATGGTACGAGGTAGTCACATTAGGCGACACAGCTCAATCTGAGCACTTTTCACTTTCGCTTCAAAGCACTCACCATATGCTGATGGCGAACTTGTGTCTCCTGAAGACAATATTTCTGGTATGCAACGGACTTTAGCAGCTCTTGAGCTTGTTTCCTACAGCCGGGACAGTCTGAGCGAAGATTACGAGCTGCGGTGATTAGCATGTTTTATCACTGACTGGGCCCGCCCAACACTCACATGGCGATTAGCGACTGCTACATTTGTCGATAAACACGCTGCCTTTCGACAAGAAACCTCGAGGCACGTGCTCCACCGACTACTCGAGTTGGGAAACAATGGCACATAACGGTCAACAACGGCAGACCACAGACATACAGTATAAGATGGCACGGGGGAGTTGTGTTGCCAAGTTGCACGGCCAGCCTGTCTGTCTCGCTTCGGACCAAAGGCAACGGAAAGCGCCATACAGGATAGAGGTGTCTGTAGCCCGGGAGCCTCGCACGAAGTACACTGGCAAGACGACAGACAGACAGACACCCGAAGAGACCACCACAGATCCTTTCAGTCGCATAACCCGGAATGGCGACCCCAACCGCACCTCTGCCCAAGTGCGTCCTCGGACGGCACCGTCTCTTGTCACCCACTGCCAGCGTGCATGTCAGCCCACTATGCCTGGGGGGATTGAGCATCGGCGACGCCTGGGCCAACGCCATGGGTGAAATGTCCGAGGAAGCGGCCTTTGAGCTGCTGGATCACTTCTACGAAATGGGCGGGAACTTTATCGACCTGTACGTGGGTATCCTCTTGCTCCTGCTCTCGTCAATGACCCCTGTCCAAACCCTGGCGCTCTCGCACTATACCCCAATGAATTCATGCATACAAATACTAATCAAGAATGCCACAGCGCAAACAACTACCAAGCCGAGCAATCCGAGATCTGGGTGGGTGAGTGGCTGGCATCGCGCGGCCCGCACCGGCGCGACGAAATGGTCATCACCTCCAAGTTCGCGTCGGCGTACAAAGTCTTCAGCGAGCCCGGGCTCCAGCAGAGCAACTTTGGCGGCAACGGCTCCAAGTCGCTGCATTTGTCGGTCGAGGCGTCGCTGGCCAAGCTGCAGACCTCGTACCTCGACCTCCTGTACGTGCACTACTGGGACTTCACCACGGGCGTGAAGGAGCTGATGCAGAGCCTCAACTACCTCGTGCAGCAGCGCAAGGTGCTCTACCTGGGCGTCAGCGACACGCCGGCCTGGGTCGTCGTCAAGGCCAACGCGTACGCACGCCACCTCGGCCTGCGGCCCTTCAGCGTCTATCGGGGGAGATGGTCCGCCGCGGAGCGCGATCTCGAGAGGGACATCGTCCCCATGTGTAAGGATGAAGGGATGGATATTACCGTGTGGGGAGGCCTGGGGAGTGGTTAACTTCAGGAGCACGAGTGTAAGTTGCAGCAGCATATTTCCCAAACCTCTCTGTGCCGCTCACACATTTCACGTATCTCACACTTAACACCTCACATCTCACACCTCACATCTCACACCTCACA